TCCTGATGTCACCATCTGGTGCAGGTCTTGCCCCTTCCCAGCCATGCTGGCCACCTGCGCTCCTCCCTCCTAAACTTCCACAGACATCACAGCCAAACCCACTGCACCCAGATCCCTGCGACCCTAATTTCTGCTGGGGTCATAGCCTAACTCTGCCACTTTCTAACTCTGTGACCTTGGCTAAGTCCCCAAACCACTGTGTGCCATGTAAACTGAGAAGTAAATAAGTCATTGGAGCCGTCCTCAGCCCAGAGGTCAGCACTGGCTTCTCCCGTCATCTGCTGGGCGCCCCCCTGCAGGAGTGCTAGGAGAGCCATGCAGGCAAGGCAGCCTTCCATTCCGGAGAGAGCGGGCTTTGAGCGCCATCATGGAGCCTGAATCCTCCTGCACTTGCACTCGCTCGCCCTGCATCTCTGTTCCAAGTGGGCAGGCCTCGTCCTCCCCGGGACAGGTGAGGGGACAGCCCCACAGGCGCTGCTTCCGCAACCACATGCCAGGCGGAGCATGGCACGGTGAAGACGTGTGGCTGCGTTATCTTTAAGGGGTTCCAGTGTGGAAGCGCGTGGTTCCACAAAGGTGGGGAGGGGGCTGTCCGTCCCCCCCCACCCCCCCAGCGCAGGCAGACAGGCAGACTCCACCTTTCTCTGGCTTCCTTTGAAGGGAATTGTAGGGAGGTGGAGGGAAGAGGTCAAATCTCCTGGGAAGAGGTTGTGATCTCACGGGTTAATTACTTGTTTCCTGCATCCTGATCTCTTGCCTCTTTGTGTGGGAAGCAGAAGTACTGTCTTCATGTATCGAAAAGCCACCATGGAAAAGGAACTCAACTTTGCAGGCCTGGGGGCAGGCTTTGGACCTTGGGGGTATCACTGGGAATTTGAGTGGACTCAGGAAGGCCTTGCTAGAGATGGGACTGCCTGAAACAGAAACATGCTCCTGCCAGTAAGATCCTGTCCTCAGTTAGCAAGATCCTATCTCAAAGAACCAGCCAAGATTGGTGCTACACAGCTGTAATCCCAGCTAGGCAGGCAATAGAAGGAAGATCATGGTCAAAAAACATGAGCCCTTATCTGGAAAAATAACTAAAGCAAAAAGGGCTGAGGGCATGACTCAGGTGGCAGACTGCCTGCCTAGCAAGCAGAAGGCCCTAAGTTCAAATTTCAGTACCTCCCAAAGAAAAGACGGTGTCCTGGCCCCTGGCATCACTCTGGGAGTCTGACACTAGTCCAGCTGTTTGCACTCCAGTCCTACTCAGCCTCCCAGAGCCTCCCACAGCACTGCCCCTCCTGTCAGCTGGTGCCATCACAGGGAAGTCACCACTAACATCTCCCATCCCTGGGTCCATCAACAAACACTGCCTTCCACTCTGCCTCCTTCCATGCCCCCCCCCACAGGGACCAGAGTGCTCCATGTGTGGCTGCACGCAGTTCTTTGAAGTTCTTTGAAGCCTGTGTGGCATTCGTGTTCCACATTTCCGCTCTCTAATGTGACCATGGTAACGTTAAGCAGAGCTATGTGTGAAGTGGGCACCCGAATGGAAGTCTGACCACACTGCTCACAGACGGGAGGCCCAGCGCCGGCCCAGCCTGGGGACAAGAGGGGAGGGGAAGGGAGGGGAGGGAAGGGAAGGGGAGGGGAAGGCAGGGGAGGGGAGAAGAGAGATCCTGACAGACTCTGATCTCAGCTGAGGTCTACAGGGTGAAGGGCAAGCTCCTGCTCCAGCCAGTCCTTGGCCATCTGGGCATATCAGAGACGCAAGGCACGCACTGCCCAGGCCCCCAGGAGCTGCCCTGCCCCTGTCTTCTGCCTGTCCCTCACTTTCCAGTCTTTGAGGATGTGTGGACTGTGCAGTATGATTCCTGCTGGTGCCTCCACCTGGGCCCCCTCTGTCCTCCTCCTGTGAGGATCTGTGGTCCCTAGAGACTCCCTTCCTATGCTCCCACTCAGAAAGCCATCTCCAGCTGCAAGGGTTCCACCCCACAGCGTGCCTGGACTCCCTGTGGCCATTGCTGTTTATGATGTCATGAGGTCCTCCAGAGTCGGTGCAATGTCTCACTTGCTGCAGTGTCCCCAGAGCCACTCAGAGCTCCAGTGCACAGGAGGACCGGCTGGGGCTTTGGGGCTGCAGAAGGGGAAAGGGTTCTACTGGAGTGGGGAGGTTCCTCTGATGGCCTCTAGGGGGCTCTGGTGCCCTGCGCGCAACTTCCTCTGCTGCCACATAGGGCTGGAGGGTGGGGGGAAGGTGCTCTGGGGAGCCCCGGAAAGCTTAGTGCAATCAGGGCGGTTCTCCAGCGCCCACTTCACAGGAAGACCTGAGGCCATTGCCTTACCATGAAAACAGCTGGACTAGAGGTGGACGTGTGGAGCACAGGCTAATTGAAAGAGAACCCAGAAGGCTTCAAAGAAACGTATGTGGAGCCAGGTGAGGTGGTGCACGCCTGTGATCCAAGTCCTCAGGAGGCGAAAGCAGGAGGATCCCAAGTTCAAGGCCAGCCTGAGCTACATAGTGAGAGCCCCCCGCTCCAAAAAAATCTGGAATTTCCTCCCGGGCTTCTCAACATCTGGTTTAGGCCCTCAGTTTCCACCTGCTCAGCTTGCCAGGCCTGTCACCTGCACTTCCCGCTGGTGTCCCTGCCCTACTTCTCTGTGTATACTGGGTCACCCCAAATTCTGCCTGCTTAGCCACCCCCAGGCCCAGGATGTTCAGTTCAGTCACTTCTTATCAAATCTCTTGCTGTAGTGTGGCACCTGTCCCAGCATCCTGGAGACCCTCATTCCCTGCCACCTGAACTAAGGGTGGCAGTAATGGCTGCAGCAGAAACTTTTTTAAAATGGTAGCTGCACTTACTGCTCTCCACATTGCAGTTGGTCTGAGCACTTCCCTTGCATGGGCCCCCGAGGCCCCATACCTTCCTGTGAGGTGGGTGCTGTCTTATCCCAGTTTACAGATGTGGAAACTGAGGCATGCAGAGGGTAAGTAACTTGTCCCAGGCCACACAGCGACTGAGGCAGAACCAGGAAAACGTCCCCTGCGTGTCCCTCTTCCCCTCACACTCAGCATCCTGGAGCCTGCTGTGTACTTGCTTCTCCCAGGTGGCTTAGAGGTCATCCGAGTTCCTTACTGGCCGCTGGGTGACATCCAGACATTTCCCCTGGCTTCTGGGCTCTCTTCCAGCCAGCCTACCTTACTCTTCTAACTGCGGTTCTACGGTCAAGCTGGACCCCAGGCCTGTGCCCCCCCATTGTCTCCTCCACCATCCATCTCTCCATACCCCAAGCTTCCATCCCTCAGCTGAGTCTGCCTTCAGTCCCTCCTGCTGTGGGAGCCTTTGCTGGGGCTCCTCCACGATGCCCTTCTGTCTTCGCAACCCTGCCCCTTCTGATGGCCATCTCAGTGTCCCTTGTCACTTACTCCCTCAAACATGGATCTTCTTGCCCCACTAGGGTCTTCCTACCCCACCCCATAAAGACGTTGAAGGGATGCACTTGTGTTTTCCATTAGGGTGGTACTCCTGTATGTACGCTCCATGGCCTGGGGATAGGAAACCTGGTTTCTAGTCCTGGCTCTACCCAGATTGCTGTGTGACCTTAGGCAAATCACTTGATATCTCTGTGCCTCCAATTCCTTATCCCCAGAAGTGACACCAAAAACTCCTTCAGATGTCTGGAGGTGTAACTCAAGTGGTAGAGTGTATGTCTAGCAAGCGCAAAGGCCTGAGTTCAAACCCTAATACCACACATACACACAAAGAGAGAAAGAGACCAGAGTTAAAGATGCAGCTGACTGCCCCTGTGGGAAGCACGACCAGCTGGAAAGGGGAAATGAGGGCTCCAGAAACCAACAGGTGGCAAAGCGAGTGTGAAAATTGCCTTGCTCGGTTTGGTGGGACATCAGGGAAAGATTGTGCCTAGACTTCCCACATTAAAAAAAAAAAAATGCTGGGCGCAGCAGCTCACACTTTTTATCCCAGTTACCCAGGAGGTGGACATTGGGAGGATTGTAATTTGAGGCCACGCTGAGCAAAAAATTAGCAAGACTGTGACCCCATCTCAAGCAATAAAACTGGCACACAGGATCCCAGCTACGAGAGGCATAGATAGGTGGGAGGATCGGGTGAGAACCTATCTGAAAGACAACTAAAGCAAAAAGGGCTGGGGTACCTGTCTAGTAACGCACAAGGCCAAGTTCAAACCCCAGTACCATCAAAAAACCAAAAAGCTGGCAAGACTCAGATAGGACCATAAAGGCAGGAAGTGTGGTGTCCTGCAGGGGCAGGGGGCCCTTCTCACTTACCCCAGGGGCCCTCAGCCCTGGCACTGTGGATATTTAGGTTGAGGCTAGACCATTCCTTGTCAGACTGTCCTGGGCATTACAGGATATTTGTGTCACCCCCAACTGCCGCCCACTCCCCTGGTTGTGGCAACCAGAACTGTCTGCAGACACTGGTGGGGGAGGTTCTGCAAAGTCACCCCTGGTGGGGAGCACTGAGGTATCCTACCAAGTCTTTATTGTGAACCTACTGTGTGCCTAGCCCTGTCAGCAGGTCTGGTTTAGCTGAAGCTTACAGTGATTTACAGTTAGAGCTTTTTAGTGTCAGGGTAGGTTCTGGTGGTGAGGTGCAAAGGCCCAGGACAGCCCTTGGGCTGGGTCCCCAAGAAGGAGCAGGGGAGGCCAGGCTCAGGGAAGAAGAAAGGGGTGAAGGGAGCAGCCCCAGCCAGCCCTCGGGACAGGCACAGGCAGAGCTGCTTTGTGACACGGAGTCTTCCTTGGCTGTGGAGGGCAGAGGGTGTGTTTGGGGGAGCACTGGGAAGGAAGGTTAAATAAACAGTCCTGGGATGTTCAATCGTGGGTTGATCAGGGACCCTGGTTGTGTAACTGAATACCAGTCTCCCACAAAGCCTCCTAAATCCCTGCCCCACCCCTCACCCCTGCTCCTGTGCTCTTCACTCCTGGCTGGGGACTGGAAGCCCTAGAGGCCTGGCCCTTATCTGGTTTTTCCTACAGGTGATCAACCCAAAGAAGAAAATGAAGAAAAAGAAATACGTGAATTCCGGAACTGTGAGTGGCCACCCTTTCTCTGCAGCTGGGGTGACGTTCTGAACCCCAAGCGAGGCAGGTGCTGGGGAGCCTGTGTGTGTGCGTGCACACGTGCAGTGTGGGTCTGACCTGCGAGGCCCAGGGCTTCCTGCAGGAAGGAAGAGGAAAGGAGTCGGGTTTGTGGGGATTCCCCAGTGAGGTGCTTTACATGGGTTGTTTCCGAGAGGCAGGTATTAGCATCCACTGGTCACAAAGAAGAAACGAGGCAGGGATGTGACTCAGCCAAGGTCACACAGCTAGACAGTGGCAGGAAATGCTACAGAGCTAGCAGCCGCTGTGGCTACAAGGGCTGCCACTGCTTAACTGTGGCCACCTACAGGTGGTACACTGGTCTGGTGGCTTCTGGAAACTGGCCTTCAGGATACTCATGCATTTATTCAACAAATATTTCCTGAGTGCTAGAACAAATATGCATTTCTAGGTGTACACACACACACTCACATCTGTGTGTCAAAGGGCTGTGAGTGATATGGAAAAAAGTATAAGGCAAAGGTTGAGGAATGGAGCAAGGATTGAGAATGTTGGGGAAAGGGACCCGTCCCTAGAAAACAGCATGTGCCAAGGTCCTGAGGCAGATTGCAGCACATGGTGCATTTGTAGAGCAAGCTGGTATCCTTGCAGGACAAACATCCCCTAGTTCATGCTCTGTGTCCTCTCCCCAGTCTAGAGGTCCATGGCCTTGTCAAGTAATGCAGCCAAGCTTAGCTATTTGAGTTGAGCAGCCTATCTGTGGGCCCAGGAAGTCATAGGGAGCATTAGAGGAACCTCGTCCTCCTCTAAGGCCCCACTTGTAAGATGGGCCTGGAAACCATCCCTTCCCTGCTTCCTGCATAGGGCGGCTATGACAGACACGTGGCAGATGAGGCTTCTAACCTGTAAAGTGCTGTGCTCTTTCAAAGGGGGCCGAGCACCACTTTGCTGCCTCTAGCTGCTTACCAAACCAGGGCTTGGAGCAACATCATGGTCTGTGGTGACAGTGTTTTGCAGTGGGGGTGCTGTGGGGTTAGGGCAGGACACTGTTTGCCTTATGGGACTTCCCATACATGGTGGAATGTTTGCACCCCTGGCCTCAGCTCCTAGCTACCAGAGAGAGCCCTAACCATTACGAGAGCCCCTCAAATTCTTCCACACATTCCTTATGCCCCTAGGGAACTCCTGGCTGTACAGCTATAAGCAGATTCAGCTGGGTGTGATAGCGCATCCCTGTCATCCCACTAGGTGAAGATTGGGTGGGTTGTCCAGAGCAGCCCAGCAAAAAGTTCGCAAGACCTGGACTCCACAGAAAAGCTGCACTCCTGTCATCAGTTACACGGGAAGTGTAAATAGAAAGGTCTCAGTCCAGGAAGGCCTGAGCAGAAAGCAAGACCCTAATTTCAAAAATAACCTGGAGAAGTGGCTCAAGTGAAAGTCCTGAATTTGGCAGGACTAGGGAGTACCACCAAAAAAAAAGGATTCAGAACCCTCTGGTCTTGCCAGCTCTGTGACTCTAGAAATTAAGAAATTGTCTCAGAGAGGGGATGCAGTTTGTCCCAGGTCACACAGTGAGTGAGGGCTTTCCTTTGCTCCAGTATTTCCCAGCCTTCACCATAACAAAGTCACCCAGCCAGGGTTGGTGGCTCATGGCTGTGATCCCAGCCCTCAGGAAGCTTAGTGCAATCAGGGCAGTTCTCCAGCCCACTTCACAGGAAGATCCGAGGCTAAACCATTGCCTTACCATGAAAACAGCTGGATTAGAGGTGGACGTGTGGAGCACAGGCTAATTGAAAGAGAACCCAGAAGGCTTCAAAGAAACGTACGTGGAGCCGGGTGAGGTGGTGCATGCCTGTGATCCAAGTCCTCAGGAGGTGAAAGGTGATAGCAGGAGGATCCCAAGTTCAAGGCCAGCCTGGGCTACATAGTGAGACCATGTCTCAAAGAACAAAAACAAAAACCAACAACAACAAACCCACAAAGCAAAAATCATCCAGGGTGCTTGTGAAAATCCCCACACATGTGTCTGGTGCTCTCACAGCTACCTTGTGCAGAGCCCCTGGGGATTCTGTCTGCACTGCTGCATGTCTGACCAGCGAGGATCACACTCTGAAAGCCCCTGCTGAATCCAGGTGGTTAGGCACGTATGGAGGATGGGTGTGGCCATGCCTGACTGCAGATTAGTGTCATGGGAGGAAGTAAAGTAGGATCTCTGGAACTCTCCCGTGGTCCTACAAACCCTGACATAACTGCTGTGGGGGCCCTGCTTCCCCAGGGCATCTGGTGACAGTCAGCGTTGAAGTGCTGCCACGGTCCACTCCTGGTGAGTCTTAATTGCCACATTGGGAGGTGGCTGTATTGCTCCTCCAGTGCCAAACGCTTTGGTCACAATGGGTGGGGGAGTCTCTGGGGCTCAGCTCAGCACCCACAGACCCCCCCCCCTCCACTTCATTCAGGCTTCTGACTCATCAACTTTTCCTGGCCTGGCCCACCAGTGAGCTGATAAAGGTGGTTGATCCGCCCCAGCTGGGGCTCCTCAGTTCCCAGAGGAGTCTCTTCTCCCGGGGGTTCAAGCCCCTCTCCCTCCCTCCCAGACACCAGGCTTCCAATTGCTGGGAGCTGTCTTGGCAAAGCCAAGGCCAAGCTGCTAAAGAGTAGAAAGCAGAGGCTTCTGCTTAGGAGAGGGGTCCTGGGTGGCCAGCTGTCTCTGGGGACAGGACAGGCTGCTCATGAGGATCTCAGGTCTGAGAGAATGGAGCAGGACAGGTAAGGTTTGAGATGAACAAAGATCCCAGAGGCACGGATCAGAATTGGCAGTGATCGTGAAGTGTACTGTTGTCAACAGGTGGTTAGATTCTGCCTTCCATGTTCTACCCCAGGATCCCAGGCAGGAGAGCCAGTACCTTACACAGGACACACTTGGCCTGAACCTCTGGGCTCCAGTGACAGGGGGAACTCTTGAGATGTAGTGTGACATTAGATGAAGAGTGCAGGCTCTGGAACTGGACACACTCAGGCTTAAGCCCCCCTCTGCCTCATCCTGGCCGTGTCCTTGGGGATGCTGTGTCACCTCTTGGAGCCTCAGTTTCCTTGACTGTAAAATGCAAATAATAACAGTTCGTCCCAGGGGTGTCAGGGGCACATGTGGAGTGCTCCAGACATGTCAGTGTGACATCCAGTCATAACTTTCCTGCTCCCTTCTGTTTCCAGGTCACCCTGCTTTCCTTTGCTGTGGAGTCGGAGTGTACCTTCCTAGACTACATCAAAGGAGGGTGAGAAGAAACATGGTTGCTTCTTTGATCTCAGGAGAGGGAAGGGCCTCCCACACCGACATGACCAGCTCTGGCCTCTCCAAGGCCCTTGCCAAAGCCCGTGATTCTGCGCCCTGAGCAAACCCCATGTCAGCGCTAAGACCACTGGTCCCAGGCGCTGCCCACCTCTGAATCCTGAGCTGAGGAGGTGGCCTGGGTCCTGTCAGACCCCCTTGTGGAGCTGGGATCTGGTACGGGTGGTACGGGTTCTATGACAAAGAGTCCAGGCCTGGGCCCCAGGGGTCAGAGTCAGGAGACTCAGGCTCAGGGCTCCTCTTGGCCACAAATTTGCTGGGGTCCTTTGGATAAGTAAGTGCTGAGGCTCCTCCCAGCTCTTAGCTTCTGGTCCTTCCATCTGTTCTACCAGCAGCAGTGATTACCCTGCTCGCTAGGCACCCCAAGGTCACTGTTATTAGGGACCGGTAAGGGCTTGGGGATGGTTGCGTGTCAGCAATGGTAAACTCTGAATTTAAAAAGCAGAAAGAACCGCAGGGATGGTGTCCAGGCCACAGCAGGCACAAAGCCAGGAGGCTCCAGCCAACTGCTCATGCAAAGGGAGAGCCCGACTGCAAGGAGGGGGCCTCCTGGCACACTCCCTGCTAGGACAGGTGCCAGGACAGGGCGTGAGCAGCCAAGAGCCCACAGGTGCAGGCGGGTGATGACTGCACCTGCCTGGAAAGGAGACGGGCAGCGTCTGCCAAGGGTTCATCTTGGCCAACCAGGCACTTGGCTGCCTGGCTCTCCAGGGCAGAGGGGAAGCAGCCTGGGGAGCCACCCTCACCTTCCCGTGTCTCCCTCCCTGCTCCAGGGCAGGACATGGAGACCTGCAGGGCATGGTCTCAAGGTTGCAAGAGCTTCTACCCACCAAATGCACATACACCCTCCTCTGATCACCAGAGGCCTTCTCTGGTCCTTCTCTGAGGGGCCCCCCCTGCCTGCCCTGGCTCTCCTCCGCCACCAAAACTACTCCTATCCCTCCTATAATGAGACAGGCCTGATTTCCATAGCACCTGTCACTTCCAAACAATCCTCATCCTTCTTATCCTTCTCCTTTGCATAATGCCCCCAGTTTACAGAACACAGTGGGTGGGGCGAGGACCTTATCTCTGCTGCACACCTGAGGGATGGGGACTGGGCTCTGGCTAGCACAGTGTGCTGCCTTTTGTTTCCCTTAATTAGTCTTCCTGGCCTGGGCTGCCTCCCTGCTTCCAGGTGAGGCTTGCTGGAGGCTGATGAGTCAAAGGACCAGGTCCTGTGAGGTTGCACTGAGGAGCCCTGAGAGGCCAGACTCCTGGCAAAGCTGGCACCCTTGGTACTGGGCAGATTAGAGCCCCTGAGACAGCCCGCTCTCTTAAACTCCCTGAAGACCCGGATGAGACAGCTGGTTGCATGCATGTCTAGACAGGAGGCTGATGGAGGCGTCGATCTGTCCTCTTTGGCCTCCCGCCCCTGCCCCCCAACCCAGGACTTGCGAGGAAGGGTACAGGTGTCCCCAAGGCAGAGGAGGAACAGAATGCTCAGCAGGAGCAGCTGCACAACAGGGACTCATTTTCCTGTAGAAGTACCTGCTTCTCAGTTGCTTCTTTCTCTCAGTGTTCGCAGGACCCAGAGTGGCAGAGAACTAGGGAAGGAGCAGGCCAGCCTCTGCTCTCACACTGTTTTTAGAAGAACCAGCCCGGTGGTGTCCCTCTGCAATAGTCCTGCAGGTCAGAGCCACTCTCGAAAAGGTGGCCCCGGGAGCAGGGCTCTTACCTTCTAAATGTCTCCCTTCCTTTACTAAAGACACTCTCTGAGCCGGGCATTGGTGACTCACACCTGTAATCCTAGCTACTCAGGAGACAGAGATCAGGAGGATTAAGATTCGAAGCCAGCCCAGGCAAATGGTTCGAGAGACCCTATCTTGAAAAAAACACATCACACACAAAAAAAGGGCTGTAGGAGTGGCTCAAGGTGTAGGCCCTGAGTTCAAACCCCAGTACCGAAAAAAACAAAACAAACAAAAAAACCCCTCTATATTCCACACTGGCAAATGACAAAAGGATGAATAGGGCGGGTCACCTGCTATAACGTTCGTCCCCAACCACAAGACTCAATACCTTGTGAAGCAGTAAGTAGATGAAAAGAAAATTAAGAGGTAACTTCACCAATGAATATATGAGTCTGGCCTGCGTTTCGGACTCAAGCAAACCAATTTAAAAACTTGATAAGACAACTGGGGACATTTGAACACTGTCCCCAAGAAAGAAAGTGTACATTTTGTTAGTGCTGATATTTCATCTGTGGAGGATGTGGGGCTGGGTGGGGAGGTGATCCCACTCATTCAGAGATCAAGGTTCAGCCCACAGGATGCTCTGCCCCCAGCCAGTAGAGAAGGGGGACGTCGGGGAGGGTATCTCTGGCCACTACCCCCCCCCCCGAGCTCCAATCCTTCCCTTTCCCAGGAGACAAAGGTCCCAGAGCAGCAGCTCTTCTGTGATCAGGTGAAAAGGGAGCTGTGGTTTCTGATGGGGCCTTCTGCTGAATATAGGCTGGCCTCCTGTCACAGCCACCATAGCCCATCTCAGCTCCTGAGCAACTTCCAGGGGTGATCCCAGGCCCCCTCCTCAGAATCCTGCACTTTTGTTAAAGAGGCGGATGCCGGGGCCCCAGCCCAGACCAAGTGAATTGGCGCCTCTGGAGTGGGGCCTGAATCTTCCATTTTTACACAGACTCTCTGGTGAATCTGTATCATCGCAGTGCGAGAACCACAAGACTGGTTTTTGTTTGTTTGTTTTGTGGTACCGGGGCTTGAACTCAGAGCCTTGCGCTTTCTAGGCAGGCACTTGGGCACTCTACCATTTGAGCCATGCCCTTCGAGATTTATTTTTCAAATGGGGTCTTGCCCTTGTACCCAGGGCTGGCCTCATACCACCTTTCTACCTTCACCTCTCATGTAGCTGGGATTACACCCAGCCGAAGATTTGTTCTACCTGCATCTGGCACAGGTCCTAGAACAGCCAAGCCATTAGAGTGTCAGCTCTGAATCTGAATCCTCCAAACTCACTTTGATTATGCGAAATTTCAAACACGTGCAGAAGTAGATGGGAGGAATAAAGAATCCCAAGTACCCTTCACCCAGTTTCATGCTTGCAATCTCCAGTCCATTTTGCTGTGGTTATTTTGCAGATGGGGTCTCACAAACTATTTGTCCAGGCTGGCCTCGAACCTCAATCCTCCCAATTTCAGTCTCCCAAGTAGCTTGGATTACAGGCGTGAGCCACCACCGCTTGACTCTTTTTCAACTATTGGTTTCCCCAAGCACTTGAAGGGCCAAAACAGATTCCAGTGTCCCCAAGAGATGCCTAATGTCTGTTGACTTTCTTTTCCACATGTTGTAATGCTCAATCTGATTACATATTTGTGCCAAAGACCCAGTGAGACCCAGCCTCACCCAGCCCACTCACGTGGGCCCTGCTCTCTCCAGGTGACTCCGGCTGTCTCTCTCCCTCTGTAGGACTCAGATCAACTTCACCGTGGCCATCGACTTCACAGCCTCCAATGGTGAGTGGAGGGCAGGAGGGCTTTTGAGAGCTGTAGTGGGTGCCTTGACTGTGAGCCAGGTCCCTCCTCACCAAAGAGAAAGGACCTGGGTCCAGAGGACCCAAGATACATCCATGATAGGAGAGGTCTCCCCAAGCCAGACCACCAAGCTACACACCTTTGCCCTTGGGGGACATCCATTGTCCCTGGGGGAATGGGAGAGTGTGTGGGAACCTCTGAGAACCAATGTTTGCTCAAGGATCAAACCTCTTCTGAGCAGTCTGGCCCACAGGCTGGAGAGGAGGACCGGAGCCAAGGCTAAGCTCTGTGGCCCTCAGGGAGGACAGGGACCCCAGTCCTTACTCTTGAACCTGGGTGGTCTAGCTTCCTTCTCACTTTTGATTTGTCTCCAGTGTCTGACTGTGCCTGAGTCACAAGGGACAGTTCCAAACTTTTCACTGTTAGAAACATCACAACATTTCCTGGGTTCTGGGCTCCTGCTGAGGGGCTCCATGCTCATCAGAAAACGCCCTCCTCCAGTGTGGCTGTCAGAAACCCTTCTATAGCTGCAGGGATAAGCAGCGCTAGGCTATCAGAACTGGGAGGGCCTTGGTAATAAGGACTGCATGACAGTTATGCTAATAACACCTGTTTAATCCTCACTGCAACCCTAGGAGGTGGGGATCAATTTCATCCCCATTCTACAGATGAGGAGACTGAGGCTGAGAGGTTAGGAATTTATCCAAGATCACACACTTGGGATAGAGGCAGCAGTGGTGCCTCTCAGTGATGAACAGATCAGTGAAAGTGGACTCTGGGCAGTGGTGACAAGGGCTATGGAGAAATCACAGCGGGAAGAGGGATGGGGAGAATGAAACAGGCTGTAACTTCCAGGAGTCTGTTTGGGGAAGCTCACACTGGGACAATGACCCTTGAGCAGAGACCTGAGGGGTGGAGGGAGCAGGCCATGTGGACATCTGGGAGAAGGATGCCGAGGAGAGGGAACAACCATTGCCAAGGCCGTGGGGTGGGATGAGGAGAGGCTGCTGAGGCTGGGGCTGAGGGATGGGGGATGCAGGGAGGTGGTGGGATGAGGAGAGGGGACTGGAAGCTGATCGGATCCCAGCGGTGTGGAGCACTGAGCTCTGAGTGAGGGCAGTCGGGAAGCTCGTGGGGGAGGGAGGCGGGCGCTGCACCTGTTCTGCAGGTGTTGCACCATGATTCCCTAAAGGACTGAATGTAGGGTAAGGGAAAAGGAGTCAAGGCCAAGTAAGGTTACAGTAACCTTGGCCACCCCGCTCCGTGCTGTGTACCTGGGGTCCAGGCTGGCAAGTGTCCCCATGTCCTCTGTCACAGGGAACCCCTCACAGTCCACATCTCTGCACTACATGAGCCCTTACCAGCTGAACGCCTATGCGCTGGCACTGACGGCCGTTGGTGAGATTATCCAGCACTACGACAGTGACAAGATGTTTCCTGCCCTGGGCTTTGGGGCCAAGCTGCCCCGGACGGCAGGGTGTCCCACGAGTTCCCACTGGTAGGGGTCTGGAAAGAGAGGGCTGTGGGCTGACCAGGCTGGGGGGGACGGTGAGCAGCCTGGGGGCGGGGCAGGTTCCTGTCCTCTGGGCCTAAGGACTTTGGGGCACAGCCTCTGTGGTATCCAAGTCCCTAGAAACCTGCTCCCCACCTGCTCCCCGATGCCTCTCCGGCTGTCTCTGGCCTCCTTATTCCTGAGAAGACATGGAAATGGGGGAGGGAAAGCGGGGCTGGCCTGTTCCCCAAGATCCCAGAGAAGATGGGGGGGTGAGGTACAAGTGTCTGCTGGTGATTCTAGGGGCTCCCCGAGTTGCTACTAAAGATGGAATGAGAGGGTTCCCCTGGATGACAGAACACGACACCATGGGGTCCTGGGCCTGTGAAGATGGAACTTCAGGTGGCCACCTCCCATGAGCTGAGGACTCTTGGTCCCAGCAAGCATCCCTTCCGTGTCTGTGAGTGGCAGGAGCCAGGATGGCAGCTGAGGCCCAGCAGTCGGTCATTTTAGGGCCTGGGATGGAGGTTCTGGGGAGAACCAGGCTCTTGAGCAGGCTGGATCTGGGGGCTCTCCCATGCCCAGAAAGGAGCCAGAGGGGCCCAGGCCACCGCCTCCCAACCTTGGCTCTGCTCACACAGTCCCCTCCCTGCCCAGAACGGTAACCAGGAGAACCCCTCATGCTGTGGCATCGATGGCATCCTGGAGGCCTACCACCGCAGCCTGCGCACGGTGCAGCTCTACGGCCCCACCAACTTCGCCCCGGTCGTCACCCATGTGGCCAGGTGAGTGCCACCCGGCCCCCATTCACACTCAGCAACACAGGGAGCCCTGGCCCTGCACAGACCCCTCCCCACTAGAGGGGTCAGGGTCCTTGTTGGGGGTCCACAGCCCAACTCAGCCTGTGCCTGTCTGCCCAGGAATGCCGCAGCCGTGCAGGACGGCTCCCAGTACTCCGTGCTTCTCATTATCACCGACGGGGTCATATCCGACATGGCACAGACCAAGGAGGCCATCGTCAACGTGAGCTGGGGTCTCTTCCTCTCCCTTGGGGAAGCTGAGGGAAAAATGGGGATGACTGGGGCATGGCTCTTCTCTCCTGCCTCCCTGGGACCCCCTACCTTCAATCAGCTCTTGGCTGGGGCTGTAGAGTCTGGTGGGACTTCAGAGAGGGGCAGGCAGGGAATGGGGGCGAAAGAGGCACTGGGCCATTGAGAGATCTGACCTCTTAGTCACATGGGGTGGTCCAGTCCCTCCAGAGGCCTGTGCCTCCCTCAATCACCTATCCCTAGGACTCTGCCTTAAACCCGGCCAGCTAGCCTGAACCCACAAGGCGGAGGCCCAGAGTCAGAGGGGACTCTGTTCACAGAGCAGACCTGTGTGACCCATTCTCCCCCTCCCTGCCTCTCTGACTTCCCATGCCTCTTCCTCTCCCTCCTTTTCTGTGTTTCCTGGCCTCTCATCCCTGGTCCTCCATTCCCCACCTCTCTTCTTTGGCCCCACCCTTCCTGAAAGAGCTCTCTTTCACCTTGCCCCGCCCCGTGCTGCCTCCCAGGCCGCCAAGCTGCCGATGTCCATCATCATCGTCGGAGTGGGCCAGGCGGAGTTTGACGGTGAGTCCTGCTGCCCCCTTCCGCCAGGCCCCTGGGAGTCCCCAAGAGTCACAGCACCTGCCTGGGCGTGTGTGACTGGCTGGTGAGCGTGCTGGCGTGATGTGAGTTTGTCTGCCCAGGGAGGGTGTGCCAGGGTGTGCCAGGCCCTCAGCCCAGGGCTGTGGGGAGGAGGCCCTGAGTCACTTCCTCTGACCTGGGGAGCCTGGGCAGAGTGGGGAGCAGGGGCTCTGGGTTGGACTTGGAGGTTTCCCTAGTTGGCTGTTTCTGTCTCGTGACCTCAGTTTCCTCATCTCTCTCTTGAGCTATGAATTAGCCTGGGATTGGAGGGCAGACCCTGGTGTCCTCAATTAACCATCCCTCCATGTCACTCCTCCCCACCACAGCCATGGTAGAGCTGGACGGTGATGACGTACGGATCTCCTCCCGGGGGAAACTGGCTGAGCGGGACATCGTTCAGGTGAAGCCCAGACCCCCTCACAGCCCCTTTTGCAGGCTCCCTAGGGAGGGTCCCAGGATGGAGGCAAAGGAACCAGTCTTCTGGCCACACTTCTGCCTGGGTGAACCCCTCCCTGCTATGTTTGGTGTCCCTGGGCTCTGAGTTTGCACACTGTGTGGTTCTCTGCCCTCCCAGTGAGGTGGAGGCCCCTTCCAAGTGGAGATGGTGTCTTTAGTGTCACCATAGCCTCTGCAAGAATGATCATCACTTGGCTTGGCCAATCACTGTCCACATCTCCATGTAGGGTACAAGGGCCATGAGCAGAAAAGGTCTCTGTCCTCAGAGACAAGATCTCTCAGTCAAGCTAGGAATGCACGCACGCACGCGCACACACGCACACGCACACACACACCACACGCACACACACACCACACCTCATAAACACATCCCTCTTGGAATCGTGCAGACTGAGCCCCTAGTGCTTAGGGGATGAAGGATAAACAAATGACCATTCTCCACACCTACCCCTTGGTTTAAACATTGGAGAGGGTGTGGAGAGCCAGGTTAGGGGCTGGAACCCAGAGCAAGGGCACCTTGGCAGGAGGTTACCCTCAAGTGCAAAGGCCCCGGTGGCACTGGTGGCCAGGCTCCCCTGGGAGGAAGCTGGAAAGGCCTGGCTTTAGGTGTGGGCAGGATTACCCCCAAAGATAAGAGAAGGGGGCCCAGGAGCCAGGCCTGTGCTGGCGAGGTGGGAGGAGGCCGCCCAAGTCCAGGGCTTCCTTCCACCTTTTCCCTGTACCCCGAGCACCTGTGCCCAGTGCCGGAGCTCCTGATGAAGGAATCCCGTTCCATGTTAGGTCCGGCATGGAGTAGGTGCAGTAATGAGTATCTGCCAAGTAAATCAGAGAGCCATGACCTTGACACTCCTCGGGAATTGAGGAGAGCAGAGGAGCGCAGTGTGCAGTCTGGGAGGGGGGTAAAGTCTGGAGATTTGAGGGGCCCGGGGGCCCAGCAGGAGGCACCACCTGACCCCCACCTTCCCTCCTGCCAGTTTGTGCCCTTCCGGGACTATGTGGACCGCACAGGCAACCACGTGCTCAGCATGGCCCGCCTGGCCCGAGATGTGCTGGCCGAGATCCCAGAACAGCTGGTGTCCTACATGAAGGCCCAGGGCATCCGCCCGCGACCCCCTCCCGCAGCGCCAGTGCACTCACCCCCGAAGTCCCCGGCCCGCACGCCCCCCGCCTCCCCGCTGCACACACACATCTGAGACTGGCTGGGCTGGCAGGTGGCCGGGGCCAGAAAGGTGGGCAGAGTCCCCAGACTCCCTGCAGTTGGCCCTGTCTGCCTTCAGACACAGGCAGACAGCTGGCAGGGGCTTCTGGTGGCTGCTCCCCAATTTCCTGCCCAAACCCAGGGAACTGGGGGTGCAGGTGACAGAGGTTGTGGGCCTGGAAGAAATAGCTCAAGCTATTTTCTTCCCCTGATTCTTGGCTCCAGCAGGTTCAGTGGGGATGAGGTTCCCCCAGAGGCAATCCCAGCTGCTCACCTAGCCCTAGAGGCCTTGGCCTCTCTCCAGCCCTCTCTCCTCCCATCCTCCTATGGCAGTCACTCCTGTCCCCTGTGCCCACCTCAGCTACCCCCTGCCCTATTTCCAGTGACCCACCCCCAGGAGGCTGCTGGGTTTGCAAGGACGCCTGAACGTGGGCCCCACCCAGGGACACCATATGCAGTGGGAGCCCTGCACCGCCCCCCTGCCCCCGGGGAGGACTGTGATGGACCCCTGGTCAAGGGTTGGACCGGAGGGGGCGCTTGTAAGCAGAAGCCTTTGGGTCCCAGTGTGAGTCTTTGTAGACACAGATCCCTGGTGCAGGTCCACAGGCTCTGCCACAGGTGACACCTGGTTCCAGGCATCATCTGCTCCCACCAGAGGCTGCCCAGGGCTCCTGGTGCCAACTGCACTGCTGCCCACCCAGACACCTGGGCATGGGGCAGCCTGGCACCTCCACACTGCATCTGCTCTTTGCCCTTCCGGGGCATGGGGACAGGAGACAGGGATCCTGGGTCCCAGTCCTGCCTCTGCCCTTGCAAACTGTGGGGGCCCAAGCAAGACCTCTGCCTTGTGGGCCTCAGTTTCCACAGCACTGCGATGAGAGGGTTGATCAGAGAGCCCAAGTTTTCCTTCAGCTGTGACATCCCACCGGCTCACTCGTCCCATGCCCAGCCTCTGCCTCCCACCCCTCACCAGTGCCACTCTTACCCCAGGCCGTCTTGGCTCTGGGGTCACCCTGTTCCATCCTTTTACCCCCAAATACATCCAGGCCCTTCAGCCTTGGGCTCTGGTATCTGAACCCGAGCTCCTGCCTCTGCCATGGAAAAGGCAGGAAAGGGGTTGTCGTCCTGGCCACACAGCCGCCAGCCTTTGTCCTCGCAGGGAGCAGGTCCTGCATGCTGTCTGTCCTGCCGCATGGGGCTCCTCTGCCCATGGCCCTCCTGACCCTGTCCGCCTCCCTCCCCGTCATGCATGGTGGTGGTGGTGTTTTACTGTCTGGTCCTGTGCCTGTCTCTGAGACAGTCTCTGTGGAATTTGCCTTAAACTGAAGTAAATTTGGTTCTTTTAGTAAACAACCCTGTTTTCCTTTCTTCTATGAAAAATCGCACAGATGTTGCTAGTCATGGGACCCAGGTTCTTACCTCTCTGTCCAGGATTCTCTGCTAGATACAGGGATTTGGGGGGAGCGGGGTTCAGCAGTGCACAAAACACAGGCCTGTCTCCAGGAGCTTCCAGAAAACACAAGTAAGACAGGGCGAGACATGGTAAGCACATAAACTTAATAGCACAGTGTCAGGTGGTGATAAGAGTTTTCGAGACAAATGAGAAAGAAGGGTAAGTCAGGCACTGGTGTCTCACACCTGTAATCCTAGCTACTCAGAAGACAGAGAGCAGGAGGATCACGGTTCAAAGCCAGCCTGGGCAAAAAGTTCAGGAGACCCTATCTCAAAAAAACCCATCACAAAAAAGGGCTGGAGGAGTGAGTTAAGGTGTAGGCCCTGAGTTCAAGCCCCAGTACTGCAAAAATAAGGGGTTGGGGAGAAGAGGGTAGACATGATGGAGTGGGAGTGGCGTTTAGATGAGGAGGTCAGGAGGTGAGCCCCAAGAAAATGAGGCAGGGAGCCGTGCTGCTCTCTGGGGGAAGAGGACTCCAAGGAAAGGGAATAGCAAATGCAAAGGCCCTGAGGTCGGAGCTTGGTGTGTTTGAAGGACCTGTGTGGTGGGAGCTGAGTTATGGGTGACAGTAGATGGGGTCAAGGAGAGGAGACCAGAATGCATAGGCCTTGTACTCAGATGAAACAGGGATCCCCTGGGGAGGTGAGAGAAGTGGGCATGTGACCACAGTCTCTGCAGTGTACAGATCACCGTGTCTCATTTGGTTACTCATGTACCCATTTTCAACCAGCATCTACTGAGCATTAGTGCCAGGCCCTGCTCAGGTGTCACCCTCAGTGTTGTACCTCAGGACTCCCCCTGCTCAGGGGCAGTGAGGAAAGAAATCTGGCAGCCTTGGGGCTCAGTGCTGGACCAGCAGGAGGGGCCAGAGTCTGCAGGTGCCCAAGAGGGGTTTCTGGCCCAACGCTGGTGAGTGGCAGGCCATGAGCTGGTATCTTGTTACTCCCTTCCGTGCAATGGGCCAACACTTCTGTGCAGGAACGTGAGCCGAGTGACAAGTAGATACATGTTCACGTGACGTGGGTGACGACCTGCTGCACCTTAGGTGCATAGTAAATGCCATCTTCCCCTGGTCCCCCTTCTCACATGGGTCAGGACCACAGGGAAGGGGACTTCTCCCTTCCCTCGGGCAAGTGTGCACTGAAATCAACCCTCAGGGCAACAATTCTGAGCCTGCCCAGCGGGGAGGCCTCTCTTGCTAATTAGACCAGAGCCTGGGACCTTGTTTACTTCTGATGACTTCCCAGAGTTGATTCACAGCTGTCCCTATAATTAGATGCCCTGTGACCGCTATTACTCTTTGAGTGGGAGCAGGGTGGGGTCCCCGCCTGGGAGAAGGGAGGTTCCCATAACCAGCCACACATTTTCCACCACCTTGGGCGCCATGGGAAAATGTGGAGATGACATCTGTCCAGGGGGTGTTAAGGCACAGAGCCACCACTCTGGGACAGGATGCCAGGAGTGTCTTTGTTGGGTCACAGTGTTGCTTCACCCCTGGATTCTTGCCCAAGGTATGTTCCACAGGACATAGGTTCCCTGGCATGGAGTTTGGGGACCTGCTTGTTCTGAGACTCTCTCAGGACATTCAGGACTCTGACAAGTCCTGCAGTGAAGAGACTGGTTTGATTCATCCCAGTATTTCCCACGTTTTTGGCCGCAGAGCCAGTACGTGTGTGTACTCACGTATCTTCAGCTGGTAATGAACCCCGTGACCAAGCAAAACCTGCTGTCTTGGTGACTTCGGTGAGAGATTCACCCTGGTTCCCAGGCTGACATAGAAGCCTGAGGCCTGCTCTTGGGAGGCCACAGGGAGGTGACAGAGGAGGGAGCTACTCAGAGGAGATGGGGTCGGAGAGATGGAGACCCTGAGTTGGGCTGTTGGGAGGAAAACCACACGGAAGAAAGGGCAGCATGGAACTCACAAGCCCAGACTCACGCTCTGTGGAGTTTTATTTATGGCCTTTTATGGGGCTGAGGGCGTGTGGGACAGAGCTGGTGGGACAGACTAGTGGCAGAAGGGCTCTTGTGGACAGCAGCTGCCAGCCCCTCTCCCCACTCAATCCTCTTGACCTCGGGGGCTGAAGACACCAGGCTGTTGGTCCTTCTCTGCCTTTGGAGCTCCTCTGCCCAGCACCCAGGCCCTCACCAAGCGCAGCCACTCTGCCTCTGCCAAGCACTTTCTGCCTCTTTAGAGGTTCATCTCTGTGACTACCTTGTGAAGAAGGGACTGTCATCATCCCATTTTTCAGATGAGAAAACTGAGGCACGGGACCGCTAAGGACCTAGAACTACAACTAGAAAATCACGGAGAGCCCCAGGGTGGAATGGAGACCTGGTTATATAGAGACACACGCTCTGGCTCCAGTTTTGCTGGCCGCTGCCCATTGTGGAAAAACAGGGGGGGCTCTAATTTGTTAAGGCTACTCCCACCACCCTGGAATCCCAGCCCTCCCATCAGCATATCCTTCAGGTGCCTGCCACCCCCGCCAGGCCTCCTGGGACACAGTCATGGCCAGGCCAGACACTGTCCACTGCCACAGCACCCCTACCCACCTGCTCCACTGGGACGCCTGGCTGCCGTGGGCTTGCAGACAAGGGCCCTGAGTCCTGCCCGCAAGGAGCGGGAGAGGTAGAAGCAGAGAACAGGGCTGAGGGCACAGTTAGAGTAAAGCCAGGATAGTGCGCAGGCTGGAGGCCACAAAAGCCACCAGCATGGCAGGCAGGCAGCCCACACCTGCCACATAGCCCAGCACAGAGCAGGGTCCCCACATCAGCACGAAGATCACCAGCACCACCAGGATGAGCACTGCATGCTCCCGGTGCTCCCGGATGCTCTCGCCCAGGGGACCTTGGGGCTGTGTCCACAGGCACACAGACTCCCCCGCTTAATCCTGCATCACTTCCCCTGTGACATGCATGTGGCCAAAAGAGCAGCCCAGGCCCAGGGCACCACGCAGGAAAGCCAGGGCCCCCAGGAGGTCTGAGCAGGGCTGAGCAGCAAGAGGCAGGCCAGGACCTCAGGGGACCCTGCCTCCTGCTCTCTGGCCACCACCCTCTGGAACAGCCAGTTGGGCAGTGATGCAGTGAGGCCCAGGCCCCATCTAGCCCCGCACAGCAGCAGGCGGGTGCCCTGGCTGGCTGGGAGGCCACATGAGGCTAGGCCATGGCCACGAGGCGCAGACCAGCCATAGCCACCATACTGTAGAAGGTGCAGAACATGGGGGCTGTGTTCGCGGCCTGGCTGATGGTGCAGATGGCAGGGCCCAGCCACCAGCTCTGCCGCAGGAAACTCAGCGGCAGCACGGGCACCACACAGGCCGGACAGTGTGATGTTCACCGTGAGGTGGACCCCGGCCCACCACCAGCAGCAGGAGCGCGTTGGCCGGCAGCTCCACCAGCAGGATGAGGCTGCAGACCCTGGTAAAGGTGACTCGGAGCAGCCACTCAGCTGTGGCCGGCAGCCCGGCCGGGGACGTGGCATTGGGCTCCATGCTCCTGTTTGGGACACGGGACAGTACAGAAGCCAGCTAGACCACTGCCCAGTTCCTGGAGAGTCTCCTCCTCTCACAGACCCCTGCCCACTGTGGCTCCGGCGTGCACCTGGTGTGGCTCCCTTATGAGCCCCTGACCAGATGGGCTCCATCAGTACCCTGGGTTCAAATCCTGACTCTGGCACCTGCACACCATGTTTATTGCGGCACTATTCACAATAGCCAAGTTATGGAAACAGCCAAGATGCCCCAGCACTGACGAATGGATTAAGAAAATGTGGTATCTATACACAATGGAATTTTATGCAGCCATGAAGAAGAACGAAATGTTATCATTTGCTGGTAAATGGATGGAATTGGAGAACATCATTCTGAGTGAGGTTAGCCTGGCTCAAAAAACCAAAAATCGTATGTTCTCCCTCATATGTGGACATTAGATCAAGGGCAAACACAATAAGGTGATTGGACTTTGATCACAAGATAAAAGCGAGAGCACACAAGGGAGGGGTGAAGATAGGTAAGACACCTAAAAAATTAGTTAGCATTTGTTGCCCTTAACGCAGAGAAACTAAAGCAGATACCTTAAAAGCAACTGAGGCCAATAGGAAAAGGGGACCAGGAACTAGAGAAAAGGTGAGATCAAAAAGAATTAACCTAGAAGGTAACACACACGCACCGGAAATTAATGTGAGTGAACTCCCTGTATAGCTATCCCTATCTCAACCAGCAAAAACCCTTGTTCTTTCCTATTATTGCTTATATTCTCTCTTCAACAAAATTAGAGATAAGGGCAAAATAGTTTCTGCCGGGTATCGAGGGGGTGGGGGGGAGAGGGAGGGGGCGGAGTGGGTGGTGAGGGAGGGGTGGGGGCAGGGGGGAGAAATGACCCAAGCGTTGTATGCACATATGAATAATAAAACAATAAATTTAAAAAAAATCAATAAGGAAAAAAAACAAATCCTTGGGGTACTTACTCAATGTTCCTCCACCTCGGTTTCCTCAACTATAAGAAAAGAGGAAATAAGACAGATGTCAACAGCATCTGTCACCCAGGACTGAAGTTCAGGCTCAGGTCATTTTCATTCTGTTTTCTCTTTTTTTAAAATTAAAAAAAAAAATGTGTGGGTGGCACTGGGCTTTGAACTCAGGGCCTCACACTTGCTAGACAGGTGCTCTACCACTTGAGCCACACCCAGCCCTTTTGCTCTCGTTTATCTGTCAGATAGGGCCTTTCGCCTTGGCCCAGGGCCAGTCTTAAACCTCAATCCTCTGACTTAGGTGGCTCCCTCAGAGCTGGAATGACAGGCACCACCATGCCCAGCCACTGGTTAAGATGGGGTCTCAATAACTTTTTACCAGAGCTGACCATGAACCATGATCCTCCCAATCTCTACCTCCCAAGTGGTTGGAATTACAGGTGTGAGTCACTACACCCAGCCCAGACCTAGGTCCAGCCCAGACTTAGGTCCAGTGCCAGGGAACAGTGGTGGTCTGCTGGCCCTGATGCCCCTTCTCTGCAACCCTCAGTAAGTTCTGAAGCCAGCACCCCCCGCTGCCCCGATCCCACACTGGTTCCAGGAACTGCAGAAGGAAATGAGTGGCCAACCCAAGCATCCCAACTGCCCACAGCCAGGCCACCCTCCTGACATTTGTCATTGCTTTGTCTTTTCATCTTGTGTTCCTGCCCAGAGCCCACAGCAGTGGGCTATACCTGCAGGTGGGGTGCATGCGTGCACGTGTGTGAAAGGCTCAGGGACGGGTCCCTGTGCACACCCACATCTTCCTGTGGGAAGCTCCCAGCTCCGGTGTTTCCTGACTGTGGCCGCGGGCAGATTCCCCAGCTTAACTCTGCATCACTTCCCCTGTGACACACACCAGGCCCAACCTCGTGTGGATGCCACACGGTGCTCAGAACAGCACCTGGCACGCACGGGCACTGAGAAAATGATGGCTGTTGTTCTGATCCCAACCCTAACAGCCCAGTCCAGCTCCATTCTATCCCTGTCCCCACTCCCACGCCACACCCTGTGCTAGCAGCCTGGTCCCGCCTCATGCCTCATTTTCACAGCCTCAAGTCACCTGTGGCCAGAGTCGCCTTGACCGACACACCCTAAGAACCCACAGTTCACGCAGGTGTCTACCTTGAGTCCCTCCTGCTGCTGTCCTCACCCACCTTGTGCTGCTCGGAGGTCTCTGGATCCTCTTGCTGCCTTGTGAGTCCTTGACCCTGAGAAAGGCTGGTGGCCGCTGCACAGCCATGCACTGTACAGAGGCAGGTCCTGCTACACAAAGCCAAGGGACAGTCCTGTGCAGGTGTGCGGTCCCTCCCAGTGCCACACCTCTGGGGAAGCTGCCACCGGGGAGGGTGGAGGATCTCCCAGAGGACATGGCTCTGCCTGCTCTCCCGGCTCCCCCAGGAGTCACACCCTCCTTCCTGCCTCACTAAATCCCTGATCCACAGCACAGAGGTGTCAGGCGTGGACCGCAGAGGGCTGTTAGCAACAGTGAGACCTGTCGCACCCTGTCCACAATCCTCAGCCTGGGGCTGCTCAGGGCAGGGAGGGCCAGGTAGGGAGCAGAGGTGGGGGGAGAGGGGTCAGGCCTTCCCTGTGAGGTCCGGAGCAGAATACGGTCCCTCAGGACATCCAGTCCCATCTCCGGTGGCTTCTGATGCTGGAGCCTTTCCCACCACCCTCACCCGTGTCACTTGGCACCCAGTGTGCCTCTTCTGACAGCGCTCCCTGCCCTGCTAGAGTGGAGAAAAGAGTGAGGGCCCGGGAGCCAAACTCTGATTAAGCGGATGGGAACAAGACTGTTCTCTGTCACCAGCTCCCGGTCTTTCTCTTTCTCCTCCCTGTCCCTCTCCCTTACTGTCTCTCCATGAGCTGGGGTTTCCTCTGACTCAGCCAGGGAACTCCCCAGAACCCCAATGATTACAAAGCACCAAGCTCAGTACCCAGCACCAAGCTCAGTACCCAGCACCCGCACATCGAGGGTCTCTCAGAGCCTGAACAGGCTCCTCCCCAGCCCCGTGCATCACCTGAGGTGAACCTCAGACACAGGGCTGCACCTGGGGACACTGAGGCACTGGGGCAGGGAGCAGGACTCAAAACGTGACACCTTAGAGGTGGATCAGGAGGAAGGGAAGAAGGAGGGCGTCGGGGTTATCAGGCCGGCAGAACACCACTGTCCCAGAATCTGATCTGCTCAGGGGAGACCCTGGTGTGCAAAGGGAGACGGAGACCTTCATGTGTGACGGGCTCAGTGGACCTGGAGTCAGGGCCTCGGCAAACGCCTTGCAAAGTTTATTTCCTCCTCCTCAGCACACACAGAAAATGTGAAAATGCAAATATGCAGAAAGGGAGGATGAGCTCCCGCCTCTCCCCAGACTCCCCTGTCGTGCTCCCACCCAGAGTTCTCACCACACTTGGTGTCTTGCCTCCACTTGGTTTTCTCCACTGTCCCTTTCTTTGGAGCGTTTTGCCCACCCACCCCGGCCTCATTTGCTCAGAAAAGTCCTTCTGTGCGCACAGGACACAGGCGATGCCACCCCACCGGGGATCGTGGTCCTGATTTCAGGGGGCTTTGCCTGGATGGTTAAGCTGGGCCTCTCTGTTGTTGTGTCCAGGACATAGGCAAGACGGAGAGAGGGACAGGAACCCCAGGGGGGACTCAGAAACAGCAGCCAGCTCTCTTGGCTTTCTGGGGGGCCGCTTCCACCAGCGAGACCTTCATGCGGTCCTCCTGCGCCTTCAGTGACCTGTGCGATAAAGCCCGGTGTCACTTCTCTCTCCTGCCTCCAGAAGCAGCATGGAGGGGCTCCTGGGTGTATCTGGGCCTGGGGGGCTGGGGGGCTGCATCCTGAGGTCCCCCTACCACCCGTTCTGCTCGTGGCACTGGAAAAATGGGACCAAGGAGAGTGTGACCTTCTGTCTCTTCTCTGGCATTCTTTCAAGTCTTCTTAGGGTGCCAGGCACCATGCAAGGGACTCTGATTGAGACAAAGGAGGTGGCATTCCCTCCTTGAGTTGGGGAGGGGGAGAAACAGAGGCCAAGACTCTCGAGAGAGCCTGGGAGCCAGGCACAGTGGCTCACTCCTGTAATCTCAGTTACTTAAGCAGAAATAGAGGATTGAGGCCAGTTTACAGGGCAAGGACAGCTAACAAGACCCCATCTCAACAAATAAGCCGGGTATGATGGTATACACCTGTCATCTCAGCTATAAGGAGGCATAGCTAGGAGGACCATGGTCCAGGCCAAAAAAAAAAAAAGAAAACCAAGCAAGACCCCTATCTGAAATAAGCTAAAGCAAAAAGGGATGGGGGAGTGGCTCAAGTGGGAGAGCGCCTGCCTGGCAAGCGTGAGGCTCGAGCTCAAAGCCCGGTACCACCAAAATAAACAAATAAATAAACAGAAAGGGCCAGCATGTTTGTTCCAGATGGCACAGAGGCTCTAATCCCCTCAGACTCATCTCAGCCATTTAGGGAGCACCCGGGGTGGGGGTGGGGTGGGGAGGGAGGGAGGGGGCTGAACAAAGTAGACATGGCCCAGCCTCCTGGATGACAAAGAAAACAGAGACACACAGATGTCATTGCACTCTGTCAAGAAGGGCTGAGAAGGACACACAGAAGTCTGTGACTCAGAACAGTGTGTGTGTGGGGGGGTGTCAGGGTGGGTCTCTCCTAGTGGCCAGAGTTTGATGAGTGAATATGTGTGAGTAGGGGAGGGGGTGGGCTGCCTCAGAGGGTTCTGGGAGGGGGTGGCACTCACCGAGCCAGGTTCACCATGGGCTCCAGGATGTTGTGACCAGGGCAGCGCTGCACTCCCCAAAGGACACCCCCAGCTCCTGTGGCAGAGGGAGAGGTCTTTGCCTCCAAAGCCCTGGCTGCCAAACAGCCCTGCGCAGTGCCTCCCAGGCGGCCGCACGTGGCCTCTGCCCGCCACCCCTCCACCCCTGCCATGGGACCCCAGCCTTCAGAGTGACAGCAGGAAGCCTGCGTCCCCGCTTGCGGAAAAGCCTCTAGGACATCTCTTCATGGTCAGGTCTGGCTTTTGATTTCTTTGGGGAAATAGTACAAAGTACAGTACTCAAAATACAAAGTGGCCTGTGAGTGTCGGGGTGCGCATTTCCACTCTGCTTTTATGGGGACAAGGGACTAGGTGCCACTGCCTCTCGGGTCAGACCATAACAAGTCGCTGTTTGGAAGGACGGGGACAGGCCAGTCAGCGACTTCACAGGGTCTGACTCGACCTCTGCTTTCCTGACCTCATGGCGTGCTGTGCACCTCCTTACGCCTTTACATCTTTTTCTGGACAGGATTCTTTTCCTTTTCCTTCTTCCCGGGACTGGGATTTGAACTCGGGGCTTCGCACTTGCAAAGCAGGCGCTCTACCACTTGAGCCACGCCTCAGTCCATTTTGCTCTGGTTATTTTGGAGATGGGGTCTTGAGAACTGTTTGCCTGGGCTGGCCTCAAACCTCGATCCTCCCAATCTCAGCCTCCTAAGTAGCTAGGATTACAGGCACGAGCCACTGGCACCCGGCCAGGCCAGGAGTCCTAATGGCAGTGCCAGCCTCTCACACAATGTCCACAACCACTGCCAAATGCTCGTCCTCTAAACACCACCACAAAGGACACCCTGGCATAAGCGCGGGTCCCCATCCCCGCTCCCTGGGGACGCTTGCTCCTGGACGTTCCACTGGGCTACATGGCCAGGGAAGGAGTCACTGTGTCCAAGGATGAGCTATGGCCCCGGAGAGCAGGAGCCACCGTGGTGACCTGGCCATGATGACCACAAGACACGAGGGCCACAGGAGGGCCCGTGTGGCGTGGGCCAGGAGCCCGTCCTGTGGATCCGCAGGACTCCTGCCTGCCTGGGAAGTGGACGTGGTCAGGCTGGTGGCCACTGTGCCTGGGGCAGGGGCAGGACTGCTCACCTGGGCCAGTTGCCGCCCAGCCTCAGTGGGCACTTGCCGCTCCTCCTCACAGTCCATCTTGTTCCCCAGGAGAAGGATGACTGCCCCGTCTGCCCCTGCGTCCTGTGCACAAAACATGTGCCCTCAGTCCCCCTCGGGGACGCCAGGCCCCAAGCACACTTGTCCTGCTCTAGGCAAGCTCCTAGAAGTCAAAGAGAGCCCCTTACGGTCCCCCTTTCACATCACACCCACCCACATCCTTCTCACCTGGACCCCTTCCCCCTCGGCAGGCTGCCCCTCCTCTCTGCCTACAATCAGCTCCCCGACTCTCCAAGGACAACCTCAATGGTGCCTCCTCCACGAAGCCTTCCTGGATTGCTCCCACCCGCGTCCCTTTCCTCCTGCCTCCACTTGATCACACAGGCTGCCTCACACATTTCCTAATTGCTTCATGATCAGAACAAGAGCTTCCGACTGGCTGGCGGGGTGGCTCAAGGTCCAAGGAGCCAGCGAGCGCTCAGGAGCTCCAGGGTTCGAGGCCCACGACCACACACAAAAATAAAATAAAAAGCTTCTGACTCCCGAGTGCTTGCTACACCGAGTGCCGTGTGGAAAGTAACTCTCAGTTAATTTTCCCAACACCCCTGCGGCAGAAGTGAGAAAACTGAAGATCAGAGAGGTTCAGTCACTAGTCCAAAGTCACAGAGGTGGGGGGGGCGTCAGGATTCAAACCTCAGTCCTGCCTGTGAGACTCCAGGGCCCAGCCCCCACCCCATGTCGCCCGATCCTGTCTTCTGCTTCTCTGCCGTCTGAAGACAGGCCCCACTTCACGCTGAAAAGAGCTCCTGCCGCGCTGTGCGCTGAGCAATTGCAGGCTCCATGTATTGAGTGTGTAACAGAACTAGAGACCGAGGCCAGAGGGACCTTGACCTCGGGAAGCACTAGACCTGCCTACCCCTCAGGTGTTAGGAAAAAGAACTCACAAGCAGGGCAGCCGTGTGTAGAAAAGAAATGCTCATAGGATAAAGGAAGCAGTTGGTGTAGGGCTGTACTATGTGGTTGTGGTTTTTCTTTGTACTACTGAGCAGCCCAGCTCATTCACTCCTTCCGTGGGTGATGTCACTTACGACTTGTGTCACTTGTAATCTGGGAGGAAAGGAGGAGTGTGGGTGGAGGGCATGAGCTCCCTCTTGGCTCCAAAATCTGAGACCAGTCATGGCAGCCATTTGCTTACCTGCAGACAGTCCAGCCAGTAGCTCACGTGGCTGAAGCTCAGCTGGGAGGTGACATCATACATGAGCACCACGCCCTCGGCCTTGCGGAGCAGCTGACGCGTCAGGCTGTGGTACCTGTCCAGACATAGTGCGTGAGGCCATCGCCTGCTGGCCCCAGGCCTGGCCATCTTCCTCTGGGGTTTGAACTCAGGGCCTCACTCTACCACTTGAGCCACTCCGCCAGCCCTTGGGCCTGTCCTAGGAGGACGGACCTGTCGCCTCTAAATGCCTCCAAAGACCATGTGCCCTGCCTGCCCTGCCACAGGGGGTTGTGCGTCACTGCAAAGGTCCTGGGGCTCCCACTGCAAAAGATTCTCAACAGACTGATAGAGCGCCTGCCTAGCAAGTATGAGGCCCTGAGTTCAAACCCCAGCACCACACACACAAAAAAGGTTCCCACCAAAAACCCATCCTCCCCTGCCCTGCCCTGCAGCCACACAGCCCTCGCCCTGGAGGCAACAGGGCCACCAGCTTCTTATTTTTCCAGATGTCACACGTGCACACACACACACACACACACACACGCCCGACCAAATGATGCACAGCACAGGCCCACGCCTTCCCCCCGCTTTACGCGAGAGCCACGCAGCCACCCGGGGTCCCCAGAACTAGTGCATCGGCGCCTGTGTGTTCTTCCCTGGGGTCCATAAAGAGGGCGTGGCCCAAGTTTGTTGATGGACTGTTAGTGTTGCTATGGGAACAACCCAGCCCCTCTGCTAAAAGCCATCACTTTACCTGTAGAATGAGTTTCTAGAAATGGAATTGCAGGGTCAGATCAATATGTGTAAGTTTCTGTCACTATTGCCTTGGTGCCAGGTAGAGGGCCAGCATGTCCAGAAGGATGGCAAGCAGATGGTTGTCCCCTGGGGCAGTGCTGGGGCAGCCCTAACCATGGCCTGTCAAGCCAAGTTCGCCCTGACCCCTCCCTCGCCCAGCACAGCCAGGTCCCCGATGACCAATGGACACAGAGCCGTACCTCTCCTGGCCAGCCGTGTCCCACAGCTGCAGTGCAAAGCACTTGTTGTCCACCATCAGGGTTTTCACCCGAAAATCCACTCCTAGGACACACAGAGGGGTAAGACCTCCTTTCACAGTACCACATAGGACCTCTAGCCTGTCCCCAAAACTAGCTACAGTGGCATGGAGCCTGGCTGCTGGGCTTCCCCTCTGTTCTCCACATCCCACCCCTCCTCACAGTCTGCTTCCTCCAGGCAGTCTTCCCAGACTACTGAGCCGCCCAGAAAGCGGTTCATTATCTTATCTTTGTAGCACTCTTTCTTTCATCCTCTAATTGTTGGATATATCTTCCTGTTTTCACTAGACAGCAGGGTAAGCAGGCAGGCCATCCCCTGACAGCCATTGCTGTCCTGCTTGTGTGACTTCAGGCAAGTCACTACCCCTCTCCGAACCTCCCTTTCTTACTTGCAAGGTATCTTTTAAAAGACCCATGTGGACTGGGAGTGGTGGTGCACACACCTGTGATCCCAGCTAGGCGGGAGGCATAGATAGGAGGATCATGGTTTGAGGCCAGCCCAGGCAAAAAGATAGCAAGACACCATCTTAATAAGTTGGACGTAGCACATGCCTGTAATCCCAGCTACACAGGAGGCATAGGTAGGAGGATAGAGGTCTGAAACCCACTCTGGGCAAAAATGTGAGACCCTATCTGAAAAGCAGCTGAAACAAAAAACAGCAGGAGGCGCGGCCCAAGTGACGAGCCAGTGGGGGTGGCATGGCTGTCTAAGGAGCCTCGCTGAACCTGGCTGCTCACATTTCACTGTGACCTCCCACGGTTCCAGTCCCTTTCTGGGACTATGGAGGCCAGAGTCAGGTCCCAGGGGGTCTGGACTCTTTGGGGTGCACCTCCCGCCAACCCCCGGGAGGTGTGGGGAATGCTGGGAGGGTTGCTTTGTTCCATCCCCACTCTCTTCCCTGTGGCCTCCCGCAGGCCAGCAGCTCACACGAGGTCAATGTGACCTTACTAGCACGGTTTCTATGGTGACCCCGGAGCACTGTGCTGCTTCCTGGGCGTGGCTGACGCTGCACAGCCCCTCCTCCCCGACAGCGCAGGCCCGCTGCCCACTGCCTCCCTACCCACTGGGCCACCCTACCCCGGCTCCCAGCTCTCCCCGTACCTATGAGCCCCCATGGCTCCCCTTCCCACCTCTCTGCCCACCCCAGGTCAGTGTCCCACAAACGTGTTACAGCCCTGCCCCAAAACCCGATAGGGGGCCAAGGTCTCTCAGGAGGCTGTGCTGAACCCTCCCTGGTGGAGCCTGGACTTGAACTTGGGGGACCAACTACCCAGGTCTCAATTCTCTGCTTTCCTCATTTGTATGAAGGGGACAGAGGTGGGAAATGCACGTTCGGCTTTAAGTCCACAGCCTCTGGTTCGTCTACCGGGCCCTGCAGATGGGCGACAGTGCCCAGCCCCAGCCCCAGCCCACGCTGGGCACGAACCAAGGCCTTGCACAGGCTAGGCAAGGCCTCTGCCTCTGAGCCCCACCCCAGCCCTTGATTTCTGAGACAATCTCACTATGAAGCCCAGGCCGGTATCAAACTCACAGTCCTCCTTCTGCCTCCCACGTGCTGGGATTACACTTGTGTGAGGGTCATTTTCTGGACGAGGGGGCTGATGGGAAAAACACTGACTGAGGAAGCCAGAATCGTGCCTTGTAATATTTAAGCCAGAATAGATGACGGCCACCCAGGGGAAAGCAGCGCAGCTGGGGTCTGTGCACCTGACACAGGCTTGCTCCGTCCTTTCTGTGTTTTCTCCATCGAATCGTGTTTTTTGTTTGTTTTTGTGGCCCTGGGGTTTGAACTCAGGGCTTCGCACTTACTAGGCAGATGTTCTACCACTTGAGCCACTCCACCAGCCCCTGTTGGTGAAGGGTTTTTCGAGACAGGTCCCATGAACTATTTTTCTGGGGCTGGCTTTGAACCATGATCCTCCTGATCCCTGCGTCCCTGACCGAGTAGCTACGATTACAGGCGTGAGCCACTGGCGCTACCCACTGAATTTTGTGGAACTTTCCTGCCACGTTGTACCAGGCAAGGCTCCCGTGCGTAACAAGGGAGAAAACAGACAGAAGATGCCTGGGGCCTCAGAGGCATCTAGTGACCGCTCACCAACAGGCCAGGCCTGCCATGGGTCTCCCTTGTTGAGGGATGACTTCTCTAGCTCCCCAGGCAAGGCTTCTTGGGTAGTCTGAGAACCTCGCCTGGGCCTCTCTTGTGACAGGGTAGACATTAAGCCACCAGCCTGGAACTGGTCCTGTCAGCACACGCCCTGGCCTGCCACAAAGACGTGTGTCACTCCATCTTTGTCCCTAAGTGGTCTCTCCTGCATTTCCACAAACTTGCTTTTCTGCAGCCCTGGGCCATGTTTCGTGGCATCTATCTTGGTGCTTTTTTTGGGGGGGAGAGGGACTTTGGGGATTGAACACTGTCACCTATTTACTTGTAATAACAACAATGGCAGCTAACGCGCAAACACTTGTGTGTCAGAAATCCCTAGAGCTGGGAGAAGTGGGAAGCTGGCATTAATTACTATTGCCTTCACTGAGAAGATGAGGACTTGGGGGCTCAGAGGCTATCGTTGGGGTCTGGAATGTTCCCCAAAGACCCACGTGTTGGAGCCTGGCCCCCAGCGTGGTGCTATAGGTAAGTGGTAGACACTTTCAGATGTGGGGCGAGTGCCCTGGTCTCTCTTTCTCTTTGGCTTCCCTACCATGAGGTGAGTGGTTTTGCTCTGCCATTTTCTTCCCACCATGACACACTGCTTTGCCACCAGCCCAAAGGCAAAGGGGCCAACCACGGACTGAAACTGAGCCAGAATAAACCTTTTCTCTTTATATATTGGCTTCAGATATTTGTTAGTGTCCGAAAGCTGACACCAGGGGGGTTGACTAATTTGTGCAAGTTCACACCTGAGGAAGTGGAAGAGCTAGGATTTGAACTCAGGTACCTGGGGTCCTAACTTGCTACCCTCTGCAAATACTCTGTGCATAAGACATTGGACCTGCCCACAGAGACTTCCTGCTAGAGCATGCAGACAAGGCTAGAGCCTGTCATGAGCAGGTCCAGCCAGGCCCTGCCGTGGCCCACCCACACCACGTGGGTGGAAACCTGCAGGTTTTCACATCAAATAACACTGACACCTAAATTGCAGGGTGCTTTGGTGATGGGGTACATTATAAGCTAATCAGATCAATGCAGAAAAAGCAAATTACCTGTAATCAGAGACAATTAGTGAAATAGTAAGACTATGCCCATAAAAAATAATGCCTCATGCAGGCCGGTGGCCAACCTGCCACGTCTTCAGGGATGGCTGTCCCTGGGCCTGCTCCAGCTCACTAGCCTTGGCCCCAGGCCTCCCCTCCCATAGCACCTCCCCAGAGTTCTTACCCACGGTGGCCGCCAGGCCTGCGGCGAAGGTGTTCTGGTGCAGTAGGTGTAAGAAGGAGGTCTTGCCCACGTTGGAGTCACCCACGAAGATGACATGGAAGAGGTAGTCGGGGTCAGATGGACCCCTGATGTCCTCTGGGGAGGTCAACCTAGCCTCCCCCGAGGCCTTGCCTGGGACCTCTGGCCTGCTTTCTGCCCCTGGCTCCCTGGACTGAGCGGGGCTGGGTTCTCTTTCTGCCTGAGCTGTCATGGACGGAGGCCTGGGTTGGGCTTCTGACTCAGCCAGGGTGGGGAGGGCTTGTGTGGGCTCCTGGGGTCCTCCTGCTGCCTCAGGCTGAGCCCCATGAGGGCCGAGCCCCTTGGAGGGGTCGGCGTGCTGGGAACAGGCATGTCTGCCTCTGTAGGAGCCTGTTTTGTGTCAGATGGGACAGGAGCAGGCTGAGCATGTTTCTGGGGGGATTCCGGATGCCCAGTTTCCAGAGCCTCGGCAGCCTTCTCTGACCCCAGGTCCTGCCCTACTTTTCTTTCCTTAGCCTTGGGCTCCTCTTCCAGACTCTGTGGGGCGAGGCCCTGGGCTTCTCGTATTCCCCCAGGTGGCTGCGCCTGCCCCTCTGTGGGAGCCTGACCCACAGGGTCCAGGCCCTGTGAAGGCTCTGAGAGGGTCACAGCCCCCTGCAACTCTGGGCCTGGCTCAGAGTCCTTAGCAGGCAGGTCCAGATGGAGGGCCTCTCCCTGCCTGGGTGGCTTGTCTGGGGCAGACCCAGGCCCAGGGCCCTTGTCATCCGGCTCTGAAGCCTGGATCTGTTTGCCAGGCCCAGCTGGGGTCCGGGGAGTGAACCCATCCTCCACCAGACTTCCTGACTCCCCCGCTGGGGCTCCCGGGAGACCCCAGGGGAAGTGGGCCTTGGTGGTCCCTGACTCATTGTTGGGTTCCAGGCCATGGGGCTTGATAGGCTGCTCAGGACTGGTGGCCTGTCCCTCAGGGTCCACTCCTTTCTCATCCTTGTTACTGGAAGGCTCCCCAGGGGAGATACTTGGAGACCTATCTGGATCTAAAGATGGCTCCTGACCAGACGGCAGAGTGTGTGACTCTGAGATGGAGACCTGCCTGACCACACGGGGGGTCTGGGGGCCTGAGGCGGCTCTTGAGATCAAAGGTGGGCTCCAGGAGAGCTGAGGGGCTCTGTGTGGAGGGCTGCTGAAGCTACTCAGGAGCTGATCCCAATCGTCATTGTCCCCAAACAGCCCAGGCAGCGGGGCCTCCTCAGGGGGGACAGCCTGAGGGTCTGGGGTCTTCTCACTTGCTCTGGGGACACTGGAAAGGAAGTGGGGAAGAGAAGATTGAGGGGGAGGGGCAGGGAGATGTGTCCCCATAGTCCTGCCGGGGCCCTGTGGCTGGCTCTCCTCCAGGGCTTGCTCAGCCTATCCTTCCTGCCTGGCATAGGCTAGGCCTCCCCTCAGCCCGTGCTCAGCACCCTCGTCCACCCATCCCTGCCTGGGCGCAACCAGTAGAGTGAGTGCCTGCCAGGGCCCCTGCACTGCACCCTGCATGCGTGTGCGTGTGTGCGTGTGCATGTGTGTGAATGAGTGCACTCACACAGGTGCATGTCTTAATTCCAGTTGTGTGGTCTTGGGCACAGGTCTGTCCTTTTCCTATTGCTTCAAAATGGGTACAATTCTCTTGTCACCAGAGGAGGGATGAGGGGTTCCCTCAGCTTCCCAGTTTCCATGCAAAATCCCGGGTACTTGAGATCCACACGTGAAGAGCTTTCAGAGTCTCACGGATGGAAGTTTTGCAAGGGTTTACCTCGTATGGCAGGATAATGTAGGGAGAAGTGGGGGGGAACATTTCCTGCTCCCCACGCAGGAAATAGGAGTGGAGACTTCCAGTGGTGGCGCTGAGCTGTGGCCTTTGTGTTTTCTGAGCTGAAATACACATGGCCATGTCTAGCAAGCCCTAATCACTAGACAGTGGTTCTGGTGGTGAAGACGGGAGCTGTTTATTATTCTGAAACATGGAGATGTGTCCAGGCCTCCCCAAGACGCAGGGACAAGTGAGCGTTCGGACTTTCCTTTGCCAGATTTTTGTCTCTTTCCCCGTTAGTGGGAAAGTTTGCAGCTTCTGAACATTTCAAAGCAGAAGGCAGAGGAGCCTGGTGCTGGTGGCTCACATGTTATCCTAGCTACTCTGGAGGCTGAGATCGGGAGGATAGCAGTTAGAGGCTAGCCCAAGCAAAATACTTTCTGAGCAAAATGGACTGCAGGTTTTGTTCAAGCAGTAGAGCGCCTGCATTGCAAATGCAAAGCCCTGGGTTCAAACCCCAATCCCACGAAAAAAAAGAGGGGGAGTAGGTAGAGGTAGTAATGGAGGGGACTGGATGTTCTTGGTTGGTTTCTTTTTCTTTTCTTTTTTGTTTTCTCCCTCCTGGTTCTAATGTCTGAGTCTGTGCTTTTAATATTTATTACAAATATAAAATATGATTTATCTGGCTCTTCATCTATCTATCCTGCCTCACTCCAGCTTGGCAGGTTTGTTGTGAGGTTTAAGGAGGGAGGCTGTGCCTGCCCTGCGGTAACCAGAGCCCTGGAGAACTCAGAGTCCCCCTCCCAGTTCCAGGAAGCCCCGGGTTTCCACCCCGTCCAGGGATGGCAGTCACTTGCCTGGGTTCCTCCTCCATCTGCCAGGCCACTCGACCCCTGGAGGCATCCAGGCGCCCCCTAGTCACCTGCAGCTGTCCCCGCACCTTCTCCAGCTGCCCCACCAGGTCACGCTCAGCCTCCCGAAGCTGCTGGTTCTCTGAGTCAGCCTCCTGCTGCATGGTGCCGAGGCGGTGGATCTGGGCCTCCAGCTGGGGCGGGGAGGGGGGTGGTGAGGAAGGGGAGGAGGAGGGCTGTGAATGTACCCTTCAGGATGACAAAAAGCCTCTCAAAGCTATTGGAAGGCATCGATCCCCTGCCCCCACTGCCCAGGCTCCTGGAGATCCAGGATTGGGAAGGAGTGCTCACCCCTCAAGGGCCTACCTAGCTCCCTTGCCACCTCCCCTGCAGGAAGATGTGTCTGGTGGGAACTATAAGAGGGGGGCTTGGGCTCCAAGTCCTGCAGTGGCTACATCTTCAGGGGCTCCTGACCCAACAGCCTGCCACCAGGCTCAGAGATGGAGAAGGAAGGCCGAGCTCCCACAATGGCCTCCAGGGTCGTGAAGTATCCCCATCACCCAGAGATGTTAAGAACCTGCTCCAGAGCCAGTTGTGGTGGTGCACACCTGTAATCCCAGTACTGAGGAGGCTGAGGTAGGAGACTAGCCTGGGCTACAAAGCATGACCCTCAAAAAACAAACAAAAAGACTCAAGAGCACTGACAACAGGCCTAGTGAGATGGATGTCTAAGTCTGGAATCCTTGGTAAATGGGATCCCAGAAGCCCCATGCTCACCTCCTTCTGGCCCTCAGCCAGCTGCTGCACCTCTCGCTCCTTGGCCTCCAGGACCTCCTGCATGCGGATGCTGAGGACCAGGCCTCTGGAGTCACTCTGCAGGGTAGACAGGCTCAGCCCTGTCCTGCAGACTGTAGGCTGGGCTTGCCCTCCCCACATTTCACCTCCACCCAAGGAGGTCCAAGCAAAGAGGACCTCAGTGTCCCTGACTTGAGCCTGTTTTGTGACAACAAGGAAACTGAGGCCCAGAGAAGGGAAGCTGGTCTTGGGGGACAGCAAGACCTGGCAGAGACGGGAAGTGGGCCCAGGCTGGGAACGGCCCACTCGTCTCTCTGGGAACCATGAGCTGCTCAAGTCAGGAGAGGATGTTTTCCCAGCAGCCCCTGCAGCCCCGGTACTCAGCCAGCGGGCACCCACCTGGGCCTGCAGCTGCTGCTTCTCCCGGTGGATCTGCTGCTCCATCTCCTCGTACAGCTGCCGAACCTCACGGTTGTGGTCGGAGTCCCGCCTGGAAGGTACGGGAGGTGGGCACCCCAGGGGCCCTCTGCAGTAGGGCAGTGTGCCTACATTTAGAGCCCATTCTGATGCTCACTGCCAGTGGTCACTGACTCCTGTCGTCCTGAGAACAGCCATGGCCCCTCATGACTTTGACGTTGGCCACTCCTCCAACCATTTTTTATTTTTGTGTTTCCTGGCCCTTCCCATGGTCCCCACTACTCTGTTTCTACCTCCCTTCCTCTGTCACCATCCTCCTGCCTCCATGACTTAGATCTCACGACAGGGCTGTGACTCTCCAGCTCCAGGGTCACCAGCATGGAGACCCACTCACCCCTCCCTGTCCTGCTGGAGGACCAGTGTGTCCTCCCCAACAGGCCCCCTGAGCCCACCCAGAAACCAGGCTGCTCCAGAAGGAGGCAGGGAATCCACTCTGATTCCTTCAAAGCAGACAGAGCACCTGGCACAGACAGATGCAGACAGATGTGGGCTGGCCCCACTCACTTCCTCAGCGACCGCTCCAGCGCCTCCCTGTCAGCCCTGGCCTCCTGCAGCCGGTGGCTCATCTTGGCCAGAAAGCCCTCCAGATTGCCTGCCAGCCGGGGCTCCTCCTGCCGCAGCTCCCCCCACAGCCGCCAGATCTCCGCCTGCCTGGGACATGGGGCTTCCAGAGATTAGACACCGGGGGACCAGGATGTGGATAACACCTGACAAGGCACAACTCAAATGCCACCTCCTCCAGGAAGCTTTCCTAGCTATGCCATCTTCCTTCTTGAACCCCCCCACACAACACTTGTCTCTCTGTGAGTCATTGATTATTAGGGGTACCCTCTGTCGCCTCTCTTCTCCCACTCCACAGCTGTGTGATCTGCAGCCAACCCCCTGCCCTCTCTGTGCTCATTTTGTAAAATGAGGCAATACCTGTCTGGCAAGGTTGGGGAATGACAGATGTGCCGTGCCCCATTTAAAAAGCAGCGTAGGGCTTGGCACCCAGTCGGCATCCAGTAAATTCTACTTTCACATGGATTTAATTAAGTCATGAAGACAGAGGCTGGAGGGTGAGCCCAGGCCAAGCTGCCAAGCCGGTAGAAGGCTCCCGTTCCACCTGCCCTGCCAGCCTGCACCCTGGGTCCCGCCCTGCCTGTGCCACTACACCTGGCCGCACCCTCTGAGAGCCAGACGTGAGGCTCATGTCCTCACACCGCCCTGGGGTGCAGCAGGTGAGCCCGGGAGAGTGGGGGAGGGCACCTCTCTTGGTGGCTCTTGGATCCCCAGGGGATCAGAAGGATGGGGAGGGGCCTTTTCAGTCAGGGCCCCTTTCTCTGAGTGTGAGAACCCCTAAACTCAGATTCTGAGACATTGGAAGGGCACCTTCTGTCTCCCAACCTGGCCAGCCAGAGCACCCCATGCCTGAAGATCCCCACTGTGCGGAGTCTCCCGGCGCCCTTGGGAGGCTGATTCTCCTGAGGACTGACCCACGCCAGGACCAGGAGGGGATCAGTGTGGGGATGTCCCACAGCCGCTTTTATGTTCCTCTGCCACTGGGAACAGGGGTCAGAGGTCAGGTACTTGCCCATGGTCACACACTAGCAAGTGACCAACCTGGGACCCTCCCTCAGCTCCACCCTGCTCCGGCCCCTTGGCTCTGCATCCAGGGGAGCCTCCCTGGCAGGGCCTACCCCAGCCCACTGTGTGGCCTTACTCAGGAAGGTGGCTGGTCCCCAACTGCCCCATGAGGACCAGGAATGCCTCTTTCTCCTTGGTGTCAGCCTCCTCCAGTGCTGGAAAGCTGGCGGTGGCAGACACGCGCTGAGAGGGTAGTGGTCGCCTTCTGCGGAGCCTGTGGGTGCTTAGGCTGGAGCCAAAGATGTTTTCTGGGGGACAGAGGGGAGCAGACGGAGTTGGGCCCTGGTTTCCCACCTGCTGCAGCCCTCGGGGAAGGAGTGATACCTGTCCGTACCCGTCACATTTACAAAGGGTCACATTCATATATGTCAGATCAGCCTTGGGAGTCCACTCAAGGGAGCCACTGTGCCCATTTTACAACTCATCTGCAGTCCAGAGCTGTCCAAAGACTCACTGGAAGTCACACCGCAGCTCTGTGGTAGCCAGTGGATTTTTATTAAGCACCTACTATGTGCTGGTGACGAAATTAACCCAAATCTCAGTCTTGGTGGAAATGACACTCTAGTGAGGGTTAAAAAAGCTACTTCTTTTTTTTTTTTTTCCTCCTTCTTCTTCCTTTTTTTTTCCTTCTGATTTTTTTTTTCTTTTGGGTGGTACTAGGGTTTGAACTCAGGGCTTCACACTTGCTAGGCAGGCACTCTCCCAGTTGAGCCACTCTTCCAGCCCTTTCTTGTTATTTTTCACGCAAATTTGCTAAGTGAACTAAAAGATCAAACCAGGTCATTTACACTGGGAGAGAGGAAGACTCTGTTTTAGATGGGGTGGCCAGGGGGGACCCGAGTTGGTGACTGGCGTGGATGATGAAGGAGAAGCAGGTGGACTTCCAGGCAGAGAACAGACGTGCCAGGGCCCTGAGTGAGGAGCCAGGCTGGCAAGACAGAGGGAGCGAGTGGCCCTGAGTGAGTCCCAGGAAGGGTTAGCGTTTGTCCACAGGTGCCAGGAAGCCTGTGGGGTGGCAGGCATGGCTGCATTCCACGGGAAGATGGCACCTGGGGCCTGTGGAATGTTGACCGTGGCTCCAGGGGGAGCGCCTCACCCTCCCTGCATCCCAGGCACCACCTCCTGACTCCTGGCCTCCCTCTGCCTCCTCCAAGCTTCAGAGACCCCACTCCCCTGAGGACTCTGGATGGCCGCATGGAACTGCAGGCTGAGCTCCATTTTCAGGGCCTCAGAGAGGCCTTTCCTCCCTTTCCCTGGGTGGGAGGCTCGGCCCCCCCATTGAGGGGGGCTGGTGGGTGGAGTGGCTCCAGGGGTGGAGCACCTGCCTAGCAAGAGTGAGGCCCTGAGTTCAAACCCCAGTACCACTGAGAGAGAGAGGGGCTCAGAAGGAGTGTCCTGCCTGCAGCTCGGACTCTTAAAGACCTATAGGGCTCAGCCTGAGAGGCAAGTGCTGGGGGCCTGCCCCCAAGAGTACCACCCTCTGTTGCCTTGACCCAAGCTAGAAAGTGATCTCAGGTGGAAACAAAAGTGACTTCAGCCTCCATGGCACCGTGTGGTCCCGAGTCAAGACAGGAGAGAAGATGGGGGAGGGCGGTGTTTGAGGGAATGCCCTGACTGCAGGTTCCCCAGCTGGGAAGGGTCACCTTGCCCGCCAACCCAGCCCAGGATCGTTCTGGAAATCCCCCCAGGGACCCCCAAAGACAGACATACTGAGTCGGGAGCTGAAATCCTCCAGGGACAGGCGACCCCTCTGCTCCATATCCACCCAGTCGAAGATCATCTGTGACTCTTCCTCGCTGCCCAGAAAGCTGAACTTGGCCTCCTGGAAGGAAGGCAAGAGTTGGGGGGCTTCTCAGAGGGGGGGGCTCTGGATCACCCTCATGGAAGCAGAGGTGTTTGTCTCCAGCCACCCCACCCTCTTCTCCCCAGGCTCTGAGTTCCCCAACAACTTGGCCCACGGCCCACCCTTCGGGTCCCCAGTCTCACCCAAGGCTGAGCAAAGCCCTCTATTCCTTTCCCTGTCTCCACCCCAAATCCAAAAGTGTGGGTCCCGGGTCCCAGCCCTTGAAGTCGTTGACAAGGGACAGCAGCTGGTCCTCCCCAGCACCCGTTCACCGGGGTCTAAAAGTCGTCTGGAACTCGAAAGCCATTGAGGCGGACAGGGCATCTCTCACACAGTGGCATGGCCACCAGGCATCTTCTAGACTCCAGGGTGTCCCTAGGTCATCTCTTGGGACTGATTAAAGGACCCAGACTGCAGGGTTTTGTCCAGGACAGACGCAAATACCTTTTGTCTGATGGAACAGATAACTCCAAAGATGAACGGCCTGTAACCAGCTTCTAAGACTAAGAGAGCCGGCTGACTGCCGACTTTCTAATGCTCCTTGCGTCTTTTAGAACATTAAATAATGAGTTAAACGAAACTTCAACCTGGGTTTGCTTTGTAAAAGTCAGAGGTCATGACTTGATGTTATTGAAAATTATCTGTTTTTAATTGTTTTTTTTTTATTTTTTTAACTCAGGGCCTCTGAGCTGGCTAGGCAGGTGCTCTACTAGGATTACGCCTTCAGGAAACTATTTGCCTGGGGCTGGCCTCGAACCTCCATCCTCCTGATCTCTGCCTCCTGAGTAGCTGGGATTACAGCCGTGAGCCACTGGCTCCCAACTTTCCTGTCTTTCTTTCTTTATTTCTTTTTCTTTCTTTTCTTTCTTTCTTTCTTTCTTTCTTTCTTTCTTTCTTTCTTTCTTTCTTTCTTTCTTTCTTTCTCTGTCTTCCTTCCTTCCTTCCTTCCTTCCTTTCTTTCTAAGACAGTGTCTTGCTATGTAGCAAAGACTGGCCTTGAACTCAAGATCCTCTTGCCTCAGCCTCCTGAGTGCTGGGATTATAGGCAGATGCCACCATACAGGGCTCTACTTAGAAAGCAGCTGTATCATTGGATCATGTTAATGTATGAGTTCATTTTTGCCACTTAGAAAAAGTTGTGCAAGGGAAAGAGACTCAGATACTTGTGTGCTCAGATTCACACACCATTATTCACCATAACCAAAATGTGGAAGTGACCCAAATGCCTGTCAGTGGGTGAACGGATGAAGAAAACATGGTATCCACACACGCTGGCATACTATCCAGTTTTTAAAAGGAAGGAACTGGACTGAAGGTGTGGCTCCACCTGCCTAGCCAGCACGAAACCTTGAGTTCAAGGGAGGAGGGAAGGAAAGAATCCTAGCTACTTGGGAGGCAGAAAGCAGAACAATTGTGCTTTGTAGCCAGCCCAGGCAAAAAGTTAGCAAGACCCCATCTCAAACAATAACTGAGTATGGTGGTATATTCCTGTCACCCTATCTACTGTAGTAGGAGGATTACAAATCCAGGCAGGTCTGGGCATAAATGTGAAATTCTACATGAAAAATAAGCAAAGCACAAAGGGCTGGCAGATGGCTCAAATGGTTGAGCAACTACCCGGCCTGGCAAGACCCTGAGTTCAACCCCAGTACCGCCTCCCCCCAAAAAAGAAACAGAACAGAAGGACGTTCTGACACACGCTTCCATGTGGATAAACCTTGAGGACACTATGTGAAGTGAAGTAAGCCCGTCTCAAAATGGTGAATTCTAAATGATCCAGACTCATGACCTAGAGGAATCCAAGTCACAGAGGCAGAGCCCTGAACGCGATTTACCAAGGGCCGGGAGTTGTTTCGGGTGGACAGGTTCAGTTTGGGAAGATGGAAGTTCTGAGATGGCTGGTGGAGGTGGCAGCACAACACTGAGAATGTACTTAACCCACTGACCCACAACTCAGCAATCGCTACAACGACCAGCCTGGTGGTGCATGCCCGTAATACCGCACTGGGAAAGCTGAGGCAAGCGGATGGAAAGGTCACCTGACCTACATAGCAAGAACCCGTCTCAAAAAAACAAAACAGACAATAACAAAAAAGGCTCAAATGGCAAGTTTTATCTTACGTCTATTTTCCCAAATTTTTTGAAAAGGTTGTTGGAAAGAGGTGACAATTTCTCTCTCCCGCCTCCTGTAGCCCCCTCAGACTCACTCATACACTTTGTTCTGTGTGTGTGTGTGTGTGTGATTACACACTGAAACAACACATTTATATATGACTGTAATATAATGCACTGCACAGTGAGCTGGTGACTATTAGGGGAACATGGTGATAGAGAATGAGTAAGTAACAGGGGGATGGACGTAATTTGGCTAAAGCAGAATATATTCAGACCTGGACTATCAATATACACTTAATTTTAAAAATGAAGGGCAGGAGGGAAAAATAAATAATTTCTGGGAGTGGGGATCAATAGGAGAGGGTGGGCGCAAGGAAAGGGGGAGTGAGGGTGTATATGGTGGATGTGTTTTGTATCCACATGTGAAAATAGAAGATTGAAACCTGCTGAAATTATTCGAAGAAGGGGGGAAGGAGGAGAGGGAGGACGATGGAGGGGATAAATCAAGCTAAGATATATTTTAAACACATCTGTAAATATCACAATGTACCCCCTGTACAACTATTCTATGCTGATAAAATAAAAGAAAAGAAGTGACTATTTATCTGCGGTGAGCTCCCCAGGCGATAGAGATTTCAGTCTGCAATCACCCCGTGTGGCTTTGTGGAGTGCCAGGCTGGGTGGGGTGCGTGAGCCTGCTGGTCTGCTGACAGGCTGTCTGAGCGAAGCCTCTGTAATTTGCCCTCGGTTCTTTCTGTGAAACACAGAAAGATCAAACGTTAGACGCACCGTGTCTGCCAGGAAAGTGGGGTGCGGTTTTGCCTCCGAAGGTGTTCCAGAACACGGAAGGGCTGGGAAGGCAAGACTTGAGTGGTGAGAGCGGGCTGCAGAGGGGCAGGTTTATCTGGAGTGCAAACGAGCCAGAAATGCAAACAAAATTGGCTCCATTATGATGGGTTTAAAAATGAGTAACACCCAAAACTCATGGAATGTTTACTGCCGCATATTCCACGAAGGCAAAGCGAGAATTTGGCCATATCTCTATTAAAATGATTCATTGAACTCTAACCCCGATGGGGAAAAGCTGCTGCATTCCTGAGAGGTGTACCACACCCTATCACCCTGCCATTAAATGCTGAGGTCTTAATGACATAGACACTGGCTTTCTTTGGGGGGGAGGGGTGGTACTGGGATTTGAACTCAGGGCCTCACGCTTGCTAGGCAGGTGCTCTACCACTTGAACCACTCCACCAGCCCTTTTTTGTGAAGGGTTTTTTCAAGGTAGGGTCTTGCCAGCTATTTGCCTGGGGCTGGTTTTGAACCATGATCCTCCTGATCTCTGCCTCCTAAGTAACTAGGATTACAGACGTGAGCCATTGACACCTGGCAAGAGCTAAACTGTAGTCATATACCTTCCCCTATGTTTGTGCAAATAGCTTTTATTTTCTTGTCACTGTTAAGTAGGTGGCTGACTACTGTTAAATAATAGAACCCTAATGTTCTCATGTTCTCTCTCTCTCTCTCTCTCTCTCTCACTTTCCTTCCTTCCTTCCTAAAGATTGAGGCCTCCCACATGATAAGCAAGTGCTCTACCCCTGAGCTCCACTTCCAATCCCTCGTTTCTTGGTTTTGGCTTTCTTGTTTCTGAAACAGGGTCTCATTGAGTGGCCCAGGCTGGCCTTGAACTTTCCGTCCTCCTGCCTCACCCTCCCAAGGAGCTGGTATTACAGGTGTGCCCTATCACCCCTGTCTCTGCCAACTCTTTCAGTGTTGCCTCTCCAAGACCAGGTCCTGAATGCAGAAACAAGTTTAAAACAGCAGGATTGCTTTACTTATTAGATGCCTTGGTGCTGTTGTAGAGTTTCAGGGGGACAACTGTGGGATCAGGTTACATGGCCTCCTTCCCAAGAGCGCTGCTATTTAGGTCAATGCTTCAGAAGTGGCCAGTTCTCTGGGAAGGCCCTGGAGATTTCTCCATGCCCTTGCTGCCCATAATCTTTTCCTGTCTTTGGGGACCACTGATCAAACCCTGTGACATGGCTATGAAGTGTGCACGGGTGTTACAGTAGCAGGAATTACTGTAATAAACAACCATGCCTTGCCTCCTTCTCACAGGACAGCTCTCTGCCCCCCTCCACTTGCCCCAGGGCTCTGTCTGCAAGGCTGCAGGTCCCAGCTTGTGTCCTCCACCAAGAAAGACACAAGAAGTCAGAGCCCGGAGGAAAAGGACTGTCCCAGCGTCTGTGAACCATCTGCGCCTCGCCTCGGTACAGGCTTTGGCTGACATCAGGTGATCTTCAGATTGCCTTGGTGGAGTGAGGGTTTGCTGGGCTCCTAAGTTCAAATGCAGACATCCCCAGGATGTCACAGGACGAGCAATTCATGTGGCCGACTGAGCAGCTGTGGAGGCTACTTGTGGCTATCTGTTGAGAGTGGGGCTGGGACTCATTTTTTTAAGTGTAAAGCAGGGGAGTTTATTGAGATAAAAAAGGGTAAGGTGAGGACTGGAGGCATGGCTGAAGTGGTAGGGTGCCTGCTTTGTGAGGTCAAAGCCCTGAGTTCAAACCCCAGTCCCACCAAATATATATATATATATATATGAAGTGGGAGAGTAGAGCTCACAGAGGGTCGGGGGGGTGTCCCAAGAGAGGGTGCCCTGGGACTACTTTTCTACTTCTCTCCTTTAATAGGTCTGTGAGGGACATTTTTCTCTGTCTTCTCGAACGGTTTCTAGCCCTCTGCACTGACTAGATTTTTGCACACTGAAATAGAATGCTTTAAGTGGTATCTGAGCCTCACTGGCTCCCTCACAAGTCAGAGCCAGTATTTTTAGGATCTTGCTTTCCAGAGAAATCTAGTTATCTTCACAGGTTCAATAGAATCACCTTCATTTTTTTGCCAGGATGCAACTGGGTAAGTCAACTGTGTGGTCAAGGGTCTGCCTGGGGGCCACCCCATAAGGTGAGCACCATCTGACGGGGTGGACAGGCCCGCTGTAAGGGACGCCCGCACAGCCACTGGTGAAAGGCCCTTGCAGGAGCCGGGCCTGGCACCGTGCAATAAGGAAGGTCACTTCCTGGCAGAAAAACTGGGGAGCCCAAGAAGAGAGGAAGTCAGTGAAATCTGCAGGTGACACCTGCTGCAGGGTGTCTTGGACTTGGTTTCTAGCCTTAGGAGAGACAGGGTGACGACTTGTCACCGTTTCTTTGCACTCAAAGTCCCACATTCCAGGTGCCCCTTCAGTCTTTGGAACTCTGGGGCAGCTGGTCACCAACAGAAGGACAAATACAGGATTTTTGTTTTGTTTTGTTGCGGTACGGGGGATTTATCTCGGGACCTTGTGCTTGCTAGGCAGGAGCTCTACCACTGGAGCCGCACCTTCAGCCCTGTCTTTCCCCTTAGTTTGTTTTTTTTTTAGATAGGGTCTCAGCTTTTGTCCTGGTCAGCTGCAACCTGCAATTCTCTCACTTCCTCTTCCTGAGTAGCTGGGACTACAGGCGTGTACCAGCACACTCAGCTTGTTTTTGAGATAGGGTCTTGCTAACTGCCTCGCTGGCCTCCCATTTCTGCCTCCCAAGTAAGCTGGAATTATCCAGTGGTTTTAAAAGTCCATCCTACAATTCCATATGAAAACTCCTGCCCAGAAGCTAAGATGGCCTGAGTGTTGCTTTTACGGATCCAATTAAAGGAGGCTCATGTGTTTCACTGAAACCCTTGCTGCAGCTGTGGAAGTAACCAAGTTAAACCAGATCAAACCTTTTATCCATCAAGAAAAAACCTTGGAAATTATTTATAATCACAAAAACCTGGCAATAAGACAAAAAAGTAGAAAGCGTACCCTTTCCACATTAGACACAGGCAAAGACGAGCCACACAGTCCAGACAGTGTGGCCTTCACCTGAATGTCCCAGAGCTCCTGAAGTCACTGGTAACTGTAGATTCTTGTCCAGAAGAGAGGAAAATGGTTTTTGTTTAGTAGAACAGATAACCCCTAAGATTTATGGCCTGTTGGACATTAGCCCTTTGATAAATTGAACCCAGAAACTTATCCAAATACCTCCCTGTCAACTCGGTCAAGAGCTGTAAATACCCTAGCTTCTCAGTTGTCCCTTGTCATGACATCTGGCTCCTCATTAACTAACAATAACAATAAATCAGAGAATACCTTTGACAAATGTGGATTTTCTGTTTACTCAAAAGTCTTTTTTTTTTTTTTCACCTTTTTGAGAACTATATTTTAAAGTTAGCTATTTGCCCTTCATTGTGGCCTTAAGGGAATGTAGGGTCAGTCCTGATGGGAAAGAGACAGAGCGACTACAAGAGGAGGCGGCAGGCCCAGGGAGACGCTGGCCACTCGCATAGGCCCTGGCACTGAATGAGGAGAAAGCAAAGAAATTCAGTCCATCTTGGTCCATTTGGGCCAAGGCCATAGCCCAAGGCTCACAGGAGCCCACCCCCCCTCGGCTGATTTCACTGGAATGTAGTCACCCACCTGGTTTGACTTCCAGGGCTCTGGCTGCTCCCCAGGATGAACTCCCCTGCTCTACAGGCCTCATATCCCACCACGTGCATGCTACCTCCTTGGCTAACTGTCCTAACTGTCCTTAACTGTGTTGCTGGGCGCTGGTGCTCACGCCTGTAATCCTAGCTACTCAGGAGGCAGAGATCAGGAGGATCAAGGTTCAAAGCCAGCCTGGGCAAATAGTGCACAAGACCCTATCTCAAAAAAAAAAAAAATCACAAAAGAGGTCTGGTGGAGTGGCTCAAGCTGTGGGCCCTGAGTCCAAACCCAGAACTGCAAAAAAAAAGTTTTTGAAATTGGGTAGACTGTAAAGCCTTATCAGTCTTTCACATGTTAGTATAAACAAATATCTAGTCTTTTCTGAAAGTGAATTGTCCATGAGGAAAAGGCGGAAGGGCAAGTAAGCCCTGCCTTGCTGGGATAGGGAGTGGGCTGGGGCCTCAAGCTCACCGCCAGGTCCTCTCGGGTGACATAGCCCCTCTCCTTGGCGCCACAGTCCTGGAAGAAGTCCTGTAGCTCTGCAGCAGCTTGAGGGGACCAGAACTCGGGCTCTGGAGCCACAGGGGCGTCTTTGTCATCAGCTGGCTCTCTTATCTGCCGCCGGCGGCTGGAGCCCAGCTTCCGGCCTGTTCGAGACACTCTCTGTCCACTTTCCATGGTACCTTGGACCTGGGGACAGAGGAGAAGTTAGGGGCACTGGCTGCTGAGAGCAGTCAGAAGACATCTGGTGAGGCAGCGAGGGGCGAAGTTACCATGTCTGCCATCTACTTCAAATGATTCCAAACAAATACAGGAACCAATGCAAAACGAGTGTGTGGGGGGGGGGGGTGTAGTGTGTGGAGAGAGAGAGAGAGAGAGAGAGAGAGAGAGAGGAGAGAGCATACAAGGGCACAGCCAGCATCACATACCAGCAGTCACTGTGCTGTTCGCTCAGCTGTTCTGTAGATTTCAAAGGTTTGTTTTTAATGAAAGGCAAAGAGAAAAAAAGCCAGGTATAGTGGTGCACACCTGTAATCCCAGCCCTTGGGAGGCTGAGGCAGGAGGAGCTCAAGTTCTAGGCCAGCCTGGGCTACACAGCAAGACCCCCTCTCAAAAACAAGATCCAGAAGCAAGGGGCTGCGGGCGTGGCTTGACTGCCTAGCATGGGCAAGGCCCTGGGTTCAAACTCCAGCACTGCCGAAAGGAGTGAGTAAGAGGCCGGAACAGGGAACCCCTGTGTTCATCTGACCACCTCACTGGACTCCCCACCCCCACCTCCGCCCCACGCTGCCCCCTGAAAACAATGCGGCCCATATCTGTCCACCCCAGAAAGCCACTGTCGTCCGTCTCCAGTCACCGTCCCCTGAGAGGGGAGCCCCTCCAGCCATGCTGCTCTGAAGTCAGGTGGATCCCCTCCCAGCCAGGCTCATCCTTAGCTCTGCAACCTCGGGTTAGTCACTTACCCTCTCTGTGCCTCAGTTTCTCGCTGGAAACATGGGACTGCATGAAGGTTAGACATGACAATTGAAGGTGGACGCCAGAGGGGTCACCTCCCTTTCCACTTTACTGTCTCTTAACGCTTGTCACCTTCCCAGAATAGCCTTTTACTCATTGTTGGCATTTTCCATCTCCTTTTACTAAAACACCTTATTCTTGCATGGTAAGGAGTCCACTCTTGCTCACTGCTCCGTCCCTGCTTGGCATGAGCTGAATGAACAAGCGTTGAGCACATTTGCCTTGCAGTGAAGGCTGGGTAAAGGTGGCAATGGCGACCGCAGTGATGTCACCAATGAGGATGAAATTCTGTGTGAGCCACGTAAGGGCTGGGTTGCTCAAGATGTGACTTAAACCCATGGCACAGATGAGGAAACTGAGGGAGGCTCCAGGAGTCAGGGATCTGCTCAACTTCCATGTCAGGGGACTGACACCAGATTCTGCTTCCTGGTCCATCTCGGATGGGCCTCCCCAGGCCCTTCTGGAGCAGTGGCTCTGCGTGGCAGAGGTCCCTCTGGGGGTCACAGATGCCCCCTGGAGCAGTCGTCCCCTTCCCCCAGGGGACCAGGGCTCCAGAGTCAGGGGTGGTGACTGCACTTGTCCTGTGATGAGAGCCAGGCCTGTCCTTGGTGTGTCAGGACAGTTTCCTGTGCATTTCCGGCGACAGTGATAATCACAGGGGCCTGGCGATAAGATGCCCAGGGCGGAGGCCTCGGGGACCCAGCGCTGGGGACCCCCCTGTGCCGTGTGGCCAAGTCTGTCAGGCTCCAGAGAGAAGGGAGCCAGGAACCTGAGATAAACTCCCCATGGCCGCGGCCTCTTTGCTCCTCACCACAGTGGCCCTCCGCAGCCTCTTCCCAGAATTCCTGGGCGTCACAGGATGGTGGCACCTGAGGACGCCTTGCCCAGCTCCCAGCCTGCAGGGCTCAGTGTCTTCTCTCTCTCTTTTTTTCTCGTGGCCCTGGGGTTTGAACTCAGGGCCTTATCCTTGCTAGCAGGCACTCTACTACTCGAGCCACTCCGTCAGCCCTGTTTTTTTGTGTGAGCATTTTTCAAAATAGGGTCTTGAGCTCTGTTTGCCCAGGCTGGCTTTGAACCATGATCTTCCTGATCTCTGCCTCCTGAGTAGCTAGGATTACAGGCATGAGCCACTGGCGCCCAGCTGGTGTCTGCTCTCTTGACCATCAATCCTGCTGTCCCAGGAGGGAGCTCAGAGGCCCTCCAGACTGTCAGGGGACCTGGGGCCAGAAGTCAGTGTGTGCCCACAAACAGTGCTGCCTCCAAGTTATTTGGAACACTTGTTGCAATCAGCCAGTTTGGTGCACACCCCTCACAGCCATACATCACACGCTAAATCAGTCTGTGTCCCCTTTGCGGTCAGGCATAGCCACTCAGAGACAGAAGGAACATCCTTTAGTCAATCAACAAACAACACTTGCACACGCACACCACAGTTCGTCCTCAGCCATCACTGTCAGCTCTCTCTGCCAGACAACTCACAGCCACTTGGAGTTTGCAAAAGGTCCCTTTTAGTCACTCAGGACCCCAGCCCTCAGAGTCAGAGCTCCCGCTGCCACGCCCCTCCCTCTGCCACAGTCCCTCTGGTGGTTGTTGTGCCTTGGACCCTGGGCAGCCAGAGGAGCCTTGTGACCAGGAGCACAATGCACCGCCAGTTTACCACCTCAGTCACCCAAGAAGCCACATAAAGCTTAGAGCCAAACTTAGAGCCCTCCCTCAGTTTGGGAATCAGCTCTGGACTGGGGTTCACTGGGGGTTGGCCAGGAGAACAGGGCCCAGGGGCCTCCCCTCGGGGCGTGCAGGACGTGGAGCGGGCGTGAGAAAGAAGGGGCAGGACACAAGGAGGCATCTCGGGGCCTGAGGGCCTCCCATCTCCACTTGGTTCTGCTTACCCGCCACTCACCTCAGTAAAGACACCACCACCCACGGTCAGTGAGTCCAAATTGTCCAAGCTGGTGGGCCTGAGGAACCCTAGGCTCCTAGCACCTCGTTCTGGTCCACTCCCGTCCTCTTTCCCTCACTGATAGAGAAATTGAGGTTCTAAGAACTCACCCAAGGTCAAATGGCCATTAAGGAGAGACCATTTGCCCAGCCTCCTCCCCTTGCCTTCCACTGCCCTCCTTTGCACCATGCAAAGTGCCAAAATGCCAGGCATGGTAGCACACGCCTGTAATCCCAGCACTTGGGAGCCTGAGGCAGACAATTAAGAGTTCAAGGCCAGCCTATCTACATAGCAAGACCCCGTCTCAAAAACACAAAACAAACAAGCAAACAAAAATACAGAGCACCAAAGGTCAGCCCTTCGCACCCTTGCTCCTCCCTCCCCACCCCCATCCGTCCAAAGCAAGAGAAGCAAGGCACTCTGGGATGGCTCCCACCTCTGAAGGCTCCCAGTCCTCCTGGACCCGGTGACGGTGACGGTGACGAGGCTACAGATCGCCAGCCACCCGTGGAGCCCACGCGCCCTGGGCTGTTAACAGTCTTGTCTCTTGCTCAATTGCCCTTTCCGTTCCCTGGCCAATCTGCTGCGCCCATCTGTGGAACTTCCTGTTGAAAGGACCCCTGCTGGCCCTTCACAATCTTGCCTGGCACCCCTGGCCTCCATCCTGGGCTTGGGTGCTGGAGCTAAGCAGAGGCTTCAGGGCGAGGCGGAGTGCTCCAGTTTGCCCAGCTCCTGGTGGCAAAGGCAGAACTTCTGTCCCTGAGTTTCCTGCCAGGGCGACTTCAGCCCAGGCAGAGGTGGAGGGGCACAGCTGTGACTGCAGCTGTGGAGTCATGATTGTGACAACAGTGTGGCACTGGAACATGAATGCAGATAGAAGAGTCAGTGGAACAGAAGGAAGAACAGACAGGGACAGATCCAAATACGTGCGGGGATTAGTGCGTGGATTCAAGTCAGTGGAGAAGAGGTGGCGATTAACTGTTGGGAGCATGGGTCAGGTACCTGCAAAAAACAGAAAGGAGCCGGGCACCGTGGCTCATGCCTATAATCCTAGCTGCTCAGGAGGCAGAGATCAGGAGGATCGTGGTTTGAAGCCAGCCCGGGCAAATAGTTTTTGAGATCCTAAATCAAGAATATCCATCCTAAAAAAGGGCTGGTGGAGTGGCTCAAGGGGTAAGCCCTGAGTTCAAACCCCAGTACCACAAAAAAATAATAAATTTAAGAACAATTTGCACATACACAGAAAGAAAGGTAGAGGAAACGGTACGATAACATAGGGGCCCTTGATGAAGGGTATTTGGGGAGTAATTTACTATTGTATTGCAAATTTTCTGTGTATCCGGAACTCTTAATTTTTTTTGGTGGCACTGGGGTTTGAACTCAGGACCTCACGCTTGTTAGGTGGGTGCTCTACCACTCGAGCCACTCCTCCAGCTGTCCTTCCTTCCTTCCTTCCTTCTCTTTCTCTTGTGCTCTTTCTCTCTCTCTCCCTCCCTCCCTCCTTCTCTCCCTTTTCTTTTTTTTTCTTTTTTGTGGTACTGGGGTTTGAACTCGGGGCCTTCACCTTGAGCCACTCCACCAGCCCTATTTTTGTGAAGGATTTTTTCAAGATAGGGTCTCGCCAACTATTTGCCTAGGCTAGCTTTGAACTGAGATCTTCCTGATCTCTGCCTCCTGAGTGCTGGGATTATAGGCGTGAGCCACGGTGCCCGGCTCTTTCTTTCTTTTTGATACAGAGTCTCGCTATGCAGCCCAGGCCGGCTTCTAACTCCTAGACTCAGGTGATCCTCCCGCCTCAGCCTCCCAAGTAGCTGGGACTACAGGTGTGTCCCACCACGTTCAGTTAATTGACTTATTTTCTAAGGAAATAGATGTTCTCACAACCAACAATCCCCTTCACTCCCCTTTTACAGCTGCGAAAACTGAAACAAAGCATTTCTAAGGATTTATTGAATTGACTAAGGCATTCATTTATGTATTCAGCGAGTATTTACTGAGCACTACAATGTGGGTGGGCACTGCTAGCCACTGAGGCTACGCAGGCGAAAGACACAAATCTGATACAATGTCTAACGGTAACTGCTATGAAAAAGTGACGCAGTGGAGGCACAGAGTGTGGGGGGTGCAGCTCAGTGGTGTGGTCAGGGAAGGCCTATCTGAGGAGGTGATGTTGGAGTTCATGTAAGGAAGAAAATCCAGAAAAGGTACTCAGGGAGAGAGAGCGGTGCGTGCAGAGGCCTGACGCAGAGTATGTTTTATGACCCTGGAGCAATGAGACTGGGGTGGCTGAGCACCTGGGAGAGGAAGGGGAGGCTAGGAGGCCAGAAGGAACAGGTGTGACCTATGGGCCAGGAAGGACCTGGGTTTTTATTGTGGGTGAGGTGGACATCACTTCTCTCCAGTGAGGGGGCTTTCTCCACTTCTCCGGCACTTTCCAGCCCTGTCGCAGGCTCTCCGGGCATCACTGCCCCACCCCAGGCCCAGCCCCCACCATAAAGACGTCAGCGGTGCAGAGAGTGCACCATGACCTCGGATGGACCTGAGCCCTGAGTCCTCGGGGTGAGAGGGCAGCTGACCTCGCCCACCAAGTCACCTGCCCAGGGGAGGAGCCCGGACAGGCGGGCAGGCTGGCTGGACACACTGGGTGCTGGGAATAAAGACAGATCCTGGCTTTTTTGGAAACAGTGCTCATTTAAAAATATGAGGTTCTGGGCTTTAGCAACTGAGCTCAGAAACTAAATCTCACAACACAATTCATGAAGAAGGATCAGAAAGAGGGAGACCATTTTACAATTAAGAAAGTTTTCAGGGCTAGAGTGCAGCTCAGGCAGTAGAGCGCCTGCTTTGCAAGTGCAAAGCCCTGAGTTCAAATCCCACTCCCACCAAAAAAAAAAAAAAAAGGAGTTTTCACTCACTATTTTCAATTTCCTTTGGCTACTTGAATTCACTGCACATCTGGTGAACTATAAAGCAAGACACTGTCTGTCCTGCGGTGCACTGGTGAGAGCAAGGGCACAAGTGAGGCTACCCGGCATCCTGCCTCCAGCTACCAGCTCCAAAATGTCCCTAGCAGGAGCCCAGGTGGGTGGCAGGGCCGCAGGAGACAGGGCCGGCCAAGGGCTCGCTTGGAAGCTGCATAGCTTCCGGAAGATTGAGCAAGGCTGAGGTCCCCACAGCCTCTGCTTAGACTTGTAACCTGGGTGACACACTTCTCCTTTCTGGTTTATCGAACAAGCAGAGTGACCTCTGTGTGGACCTCTTGGCTCCTTGCCACTTTCTAAGGGTCATGGAGGTGGTGACAGCGCCTCCCCTTGAAGGTTTGTCGTGAGGATGAAATGGCCTCAACCTCAGAGGGCACATGCGGCAGGGTCAGGCAGATGTATTTTGGGGATTGTTGGAAGGAAACTGAGTTAGAGGTCTCTGACGTCTCCAGTCCCACCGATTTGCAGATGGCCTGTTCGTGAGACTGCTTGTCATGTGGGTGGGACAGTGACCCCCGGAGCTAGGATGGGGCGGGGTAGGACCCAACATTGGAGTGGGGTTTGGGAGGCAGGCACTCAGTTCAGGAGGAAAAGTCCAGCCACTTCTTCATGCAACAAATATTTAGGGAACCCCCATAATGCACCAGGCGCCTTCCATGTGCTGGAATGTGGGATGAACTAAACAGACTGAGGCCAGCTTCCAGGAAGCCCCCATTTGTGTGGGGCTGGGTGGGACAGGTGAAGTTATAGTGCTTTTTTGCCAATATGTTCCCATGGGCTTTAGGTCGTTCAGGGCGGTCACTGTGGGGGCCTTGCCCATGTTCCCCAGGGCCTTCTATGCTTACCTGAGGCTTTGGGAGACAGTTCTGACAGGTTACTAACTTCTCGCCCTCCCTTCCCACCTGTGGCCCTCGGCAGCATAGGAGTTGGCTCCAGCCTGTGAGAAGCAGCCTGGAACTGACCCCAGAGACGCCCCCAAATCAGCAGATAGGCAGTGTCAGTAGGTGAGTATCCCAGGGGCACCCAGATAAAGGCCCCAGACAATTCTAGGGCATGGTCCGTATGTTTTCCCCAAGGCTCACTGCAGAACCTGTCTCGTGTTCTCCACGCTCCTGTCCATGTCCCCAAGGAATTCCAAGTGTATCACCTGGACAGTCCTCGTCTCAGGTTGCGTGGGAGGCAGGGAGGAATCTAATACAGAAATGGCAGAGAGAAGAATGGGTTCCCCAAAATGGATTCCTCATCAGTGAGAGGACAACAAGGACACAAATACCCCTGGCAGGCTATGGCGTTCCAATATCCATGTCTTGGCTGTGTGTGGTGGATTGAGCTGGGGTACAGGTAGAGTTTGAGGGGCAACACCGGCATAGGCAACAGATCTAACACCTGAAGATATAGGCCTTGATAATTGTAAGGGTGGTGGAGTTGGTTGACTTGTTAACTGTGGGGAAGTGGCTCAAGTTGTAGAGCACCTGCCTAGCAAGTGCAAGGGCCTGAGTTCAAAACCAGCCAAAATAAATAAATAATTTTTAAAAAACCCTCAAAATTGACTTTTGTTAACTGTTAGAAGCCTTGAAGAAAGAGAATGGCAGGCTCAACTGAGGGTGTGTGGCAGGACACAGAAGAGGTCCACAGCAGCAGACTGACAGACCCCTGTCCTGTGGTCCAAGGGCAGGAGGTGCTGAAAGTCAGACTCAGGATCTGATTTTGAGCTGGTGTACTGCACGAGAGGAAGAACCCTGTCCCGGCCTGCCTCCCACCTTAGCAGTGGGACCCCCGCAGGGGGAGAGTGAGCTACGGAGACCCACATGGAGACATCTGGATGGATATACTTGGGGAAACCTTGCGCCCCAGCTTCCTAAAACCCTTAAGCTACAGAACCTCTGCCTTGTCATCTCCCATGACCTGAAGACCACACGCAGGACTCACCTGAGGTGATATCCCACAGGTTAGGCTTACCTTCCACAAGGTCCACCCTCCTCCCCTCATTATCTCTAGGCCATCAGACACTTTCTCAAAGGGAAGGAGAGGAGATATTTCAGACTTTCCTTGTGAGTCTTGTGGTTTTGTCACCATTACCTAATTCTGCTTTTGCCAGTAGTTAAGGTCAGGTCTTAACATCAGGAAAGTATAGTCCCTGTTACTGAAGGAAATAACTGACCAAAAAAATTTAAAAATAAGCTGTGGGAGAGATGATAGGGGCAGTGTAACTAATGTACAGTATAAGTCTAATCAGAATTGTCACTGTGACTCCCCCCCATAATGAATCTATCCTAATAAAGAATTTAAAAAGAAAAAAAAAAGAGCTACCGGCCTGGCTATCCATCCTAGTAGGAACAGGGAAGAGGAGCTAGGAGGAGCTCTTGAGCACGTGGGTTGTGGGGGAACTAGGAAGAGCAAGTTTCTGTACTGGCTCTCTCCACTCAGGATTGGGCTTCCTGGCCAAGACCCAAGGGCTCTCCTAACACACTGCTGAGATGGTCATCAAGGCTTTGACCCAATGACGACCATGTGGCACAGCCTTGGAAGAGTACAGTAGACTCTCAGTATCCCCTGGTAAAGTTTCCAAGGAGACCACCACTGAGGAACAACTGGGAATGGTCGGGAGGCAGAGTTCGGTAGTCACCTGTCTGTACAGTAGGTCTGAGCCTCCACCATGACTTGAAACCACATGGAGCAGGCTACATGAGTCATGAAAATGACTGCTGTACTAAAAACTAGGTCTTATTTCATGGGGTTTTTTTTTCTTTTTTTTTTTTTTTTTTTTGGTGGTGCTGGGGTTTGAACTCAGAACCTCACACTTGCTTATCAGGCATTCTACCACTTGAGCCATTCCACAGTCCTTTCTTATGTTGGGTATTTTTATGAGATAAGGCTGGCCTCAAACTGATATCCTCCTGATCTCTGCCTCCTGAGTAGCTAGGATTACATGAGCCCCAGTGCCCGGCACCATTTGCTTTTCGAGAGGCAGATTTTTACAAAATTCAAGGTAGGGAAACACTCAACAGATCACACACTGATTTCAACACAATTGACATTAAATGTTTTTTTGTTTTGTTTTGTTGGTGGGACTAGAGTTGGAGCTCAGGGCTTCGTGACAGCAAAGCAAGTGCTTGCGCCATGCCTCCAGCCTCTTTTAATTTAAAAAATTTTTGACCACACTTGTTCAAAATCACATGTAGTAAATCCATGAATAAGGTGGGCGCCTATTAGAGGGGTGCCCTGTCGATGGAGACACTAGGAGGACTATATCCTAGAATCAAAGTGGACACCTTTACCATGATGGGCAAAGCCTGCGTGGAGACCAGGGGCCCTAGATCTGCACTGCTTAGTGGCATTGGTGTCCCCAAGGGAGAGATGAGCAGTTAACAAGGGCACTGCTTGACATAACCACAAAGATAAAGAGTAGGAAGGGGAGGACGGCGCTGTCTGCCTCCCACCCAGTTTCCAGATGTGAGCCCCTTCTCAGAGCCAGAACCCACTGATGGAACAGAAAGACCCATAATGCCTCTAAAAGGATATAAAAAATATTTCTTCTTTCCTTTTCCAAGATACCAGAGAATACTGTGTGCCAGCGTAGCTTTTCAGTGTGTTAAAGTCAACAACCAGCTCCTTCGAAGTCTGTTGAATACAGTCTGAGTTTACACTCATTCCAGGTGCCCCAAAATACCATCATAGCCTCCTTTTAAGTTGGGGGAGGAGGACATCTAGGAGGCCAGTGATAAAGGAAGTCCTGCCCAAGTTCATCTCCAAATGGGTCCATGAGGCTGTGACACACTCTAGGGCTGCAAATCGGAATGGATTTGCTTAGCAGCTGGCAGAAACTCCACCTGTATTCCCTTATGTATGCAACCAGAGTCATTACGGAAAGAACTAGAAATCTCTAAAAGTACCCCACTGGTCAAGACAGTCGATCAGAAGCCACATCCCAGGTGGAACCACAGAGGTAAGCGATGCCCTCAAAGACCTGAAGGCCGCAGAGACGGTGCCCATCATAGCTCTTCTCCATACACCCCATATTGCCCCTGTAAGAACCCCTGCAAGCAAGGCAAGCACTGTTATCCCCATGGTAGCCCCGCCTAACCTCAGCCATGGTGTCAGATACGGCGTCTTTACTAGAGCAGCCCACAGGAGCTGACTGTAAGAAACCAGCAGTGTGGCCGATGCTCTATTTTCCGTCCATTTCAGCATCAAAAGTGGTTCACACTCACATTCCCTACAAAGCCAGATCTGTCACCTCCACAAGCGGGGGAAACAAACTGCAGCATTCTCCCTGTGGTAAAGGACAATCCACGTCTTACACCCTCTACCATTTTTAATTTGGATTTTGGAGGCAGAATCCTAAACACTGCCCCTCCAGTCCATTTATTGGATGACTTGCTTGGCTGCCCCATGTGGGTGGAACCTGAACACAGAGGCTCCCATTGGTGTATACCGTGGGACAAGCACTTCGGCCATGAGGCACAGTGGGGACTCCACAGCCCTGGGCCTATCTGTGGGAGAGGACCAGCAGACTCTCTGGAAAGCTCACCTTGGGACCCCAGTGCTCTGGTGCAAAGCCATGCCCTGTACAGAACAGAACTACAGGCCTCTGAAAAACAACTCTTGGCCAAACTGCAGAATCAGAAGCAAATAAATGACTCTTGTCCTAAGCTGCTGAGTCTTGGTTAGGCTAGTTAGGATTAGATTATCAGAACACATGTGTAACAGTACTTTGTTCTTTTTGATATTGTATTTAATTATCCACTCTAAATTCACCAGTTTACGTCTACTCTTCTGTCATGAACACTTCTGTTATGCCTAGCTTGAGTCTGTTAATAATGCAGCTAGGACCATTTTGTGTTGTTCGGTGGAGACGTGATCATTTCTCTAGGGAGAGACTTAGGAACAGAATTACTGGGTCATGGGATAGGCATGAGGACAGGCTCTTTAGAAAACATTGTCAAACTGTGTTCCAAAGGAGTTGACTTGGGTTGAGGGTGTAGCTCAGTGGTAGAGATTTTGTTAGCATTACAAGGCCATGGTTCCATTCCCAGCACCCAAGAGGAGAAAAAAGTAGTTGGAGCATTTTCTACTTCCATGGCATTCCAGTTGCTCCATATTTACCAAAGCTTAGCAGTGTCTTGGTTAATGCCCTACATTCTGGTGATACAAAGTAGCACCTTATTGTGGTTTTAATTTGCATTTCCCTGATGATTAATGGAGATATGCTACAATACATTCTTTACAGAAAAAAATTCTGGAGCTGTTTGGGCTCAGGTGACTCACAGCTATAATCCTAGCTACTTGGATGAGGCTGGGAAGATCACAGTTCGAGGACAACCCAGGCAAATAGTTCATAAGACCCCCATCTCCAAAAAGAAGGAGAGTAAAGTGGACTGGAGGTATGGCTCAAGTGGTAGAGCGCCTGATTCATGCTTTGTAAGCACGTAGCCCTGAGTTCAAACCCCAGATCCACCAAATAAATAAATCTATAGATAGATCTTCTAGGTGCTAAGGACCAAACCCAGGGTCTCACACACTACTTCTGAGCTATAGCCCCTAACCCCTTAAAATTATTTTTTTTTAATTACAAAAACAATCGACTCCCAGAACCCGTGACCTATTTGTTCTTATAAATGACAAGGAATAATGGCCACAACAGTAACATTACGAGTTATCAAGAAATATTTATTGAGCACCTGCTGTGTACCCAGCACCGTGGGAGGGACTATGGAGGACACAGAGCAGTACAGGGCGTGGTCCAGGCCAGGATGTTACAGGAACTGGAGGGTGTTTGGGCAGACCCACTAAGTGCTTTTGTGCTTCCAAGGGCTCAGTGCTCAGTGCTGGGAAAGACAGCCACCCACCACCCAGTCTCCCATTAGCCCACTTAGCACGCCACTCCATGGCCTCTACTCCCTCCATCTTGGCCTGACTCCTTGTTCAGCTGCTACTCAAAGTGCAATGAAATGGGGAGGGACAGGCAGAGGGGAAAGGTCACTGGATGACTTCCAGAGGCTGGGGTCTCTGTTCTGGAAAACCCACTTCCCCAAAACACCTGGAACATGGAGTGACCCCACTCAGGGGAGCCTGTCCCACCACTCAGGACCCACACCCCAGAGCTAAAAGAGGAGGTGGCGGGTCACTGCTTGAGCTGCCTGAGGTAGAACTAGGGAGCCCTTCTTCCTGTGTGCCCCTTCCTTTCCAGTCCATTGAGTTGGGAGGGGGACAGGTGCCCAGAGCTGCCACCCACAGCTGAGAGGATCCTGAAGGGGAAGGATGTGGGGGAGGGGAGAGCAGCAGAGGGGCCTTGAGAGCCAGCTGGGAAAGAGGGGCAGCTGGGGCCCCCAGAAAAGTAGAGGGGAAACCAACAAGGGAGAAGATGAAACCTTGAGGTGAGCTCCCCAGGAAGTGGCACAGGGGGCCTGGGGTGGGGGTGGGTTGCTACAAGTCCCGCCCGCCCCCTGCTTTCACAGGAGTGGGTATCAAGGGCCAGAATGGTGCCAAATCCCCAGCCCTGTCCAGGCTGTGCCTACTTCATGGTCACTCTGCCCAACCATAGAGGACATTGGGGGACTCCACAGTTTTTGACAATGGCCCCACTCAGCTGGTTCCCTTCAAAGTGCTATCAATTTACTTCTCAAATTCTAAGGAATTCAGGTCTGAGAATGTAGGGATGTACAGGGAGGGAGGCTGGCCCCTCCAGGGAGGCCCAGCCAGAGGTGAGGCTAGATGAAGAAGAGGAGGACACTGGCATGAAGCCAGCCCCACCTTCCTTCCAGGAAAGAGGAAACAAACAGCCTAGGCTGAGAAGGTTTTAAATACTTTATATAATAAAAATACCCAGCACTCTGATGAGTCTACCATCCTACTGCCTAATTGTTTTTAAATAACACTAATGCCAGAGGCTGGTGAGAGGGGGGCAGGCAGGGTATGTACACAAGGAGGAGTTTAAATTAAAACACAAATAATAATTAAGACGCACAAAGTGAAGCAGGAGGCAGAAGACGTGGAAGGGGCTGTGGACCCACGTCAGCAGAAGCGAAGCCGTCAGGGCTTCCTCTTGGAGAAGACCAGCCGGCGTTTGGAGTGGTAGAAATCTGGGGAGAGAAAGCAGACAGGCATCAGCTGTGCTGGGAGGGCAGGGGCACAGCTGAGCTGAGGCCAGCCTGAGGGATTTCAGATGGGCGAGGGCCCCCAGGGCCAAAGGGACATGTAACTAAGTGAACTCTCTCTCCTCCCTCTCTCTCCCTCTTTCATAGCCCAGGCTTTCCTGGAGCTCTCAATCCTCCTGCCTCAGCTTCCCTAGTTCTGGGATTATAGGCATGCTCTACTATGCCTGGCTCTCTCCTTTTGTTATTTTTTGCAGTGCCAGGGATGGAACTCAGGACTGTGAACATGCTAGACAAGGGCTCCACTACTGAGCCACATTCCCAGCCCCTGCCCTGGGCTTTTCTATCATGGTAGAGAGTTCTAGTGGGCAGCACTGAACTAGGGAGGACTCCATGGAAAGTGCTCTGCACCATGCCTCACCGAAAGAAACTTTAGCCACTGGTACATAATCATTGGTTCTGACCCAACTGCATATGTGTCGTGGGATCCTTGCCTTCGCCTCTCAGCCTCAGTTTCCCACTGGTGAAATGAAGATAATGGGGTGCTCTAAGGGCAGAATAAAATGCTCTGTAAAGGCCTTGGTCTAGGAGCCGACAGAAGAAGTGTTTAAATGTCAGCACCATCCACTCATGGCTTACCAAGCACCTACTCCCTAGGGGAGATATAGGTCCCTGTCACAGGTTGCTGAGGCAGTGGTCAGCATCACGACAAGGAAGGAGGCTGGGGGTAGGTCAGTGGTAGAGCATTTGCCTAGCATGTGCAAGGCCCTGAGTTCCATTCCCCAGCTCCACAAGGAGAAAAACGATGAGGCAGGTGCTTTGAGGGAACAAAACGCAAGTGGGGGAGGGAAGCACATGCGTGAGATGCGTGTGTGATGGGGTGAAAGGTGGTGAAGTCTAGATTGAGCGATGTGGAGGTTATTACCATTAGTCCTCTCTCCACTGTAAGTTCATTGTGGGACATTAGACCAATCACCCTCCCCGTCAGAGCCCTGTTTCCTCTTTCTAAGTGGTGGCAAGAATGACAGGGTACAGGATTGCTTTAAGGATTCAGTGAAACCCACTGCAAAATACCTGGCATGTCATTGGTTCTTAATAAATGTTAACTAGTTGGTCTCCACTGGAGCCTTACTGTGTGAGCTCAGGCAGGTCACTCCCCTCTCTGGGCCTGTTTCCTCCATCTAAGGTATCTTGAGAGCTCTGGTCCCTTGCAACGTCCTTCCCTGTACCTGTCCTCACCTGTCATGCTGGTCTGCCTCCGCTTTCGGCCCTGAGAGGTTCCTGGCCCAGCTGGAGACTCCTCAGGCCGCTCAGGGGAGCGAGGCACAAGGGTGCAGGACAGCGACAGGTCCACATGGTCCTCCTGTGCTGTCCCCTGCAGCAAGGCAGTGGAGGTGCCCGGCCGCTTGCCTCCTCCCAAGTCATCCCTGCTTCCCCGGGACCCTGGGGTCAGGTACAGCTTGGGCAGGCCCAGGCCCCGCACAGGCTCCCAGGCAAAGTTGCCCTCTAGTGGTGTCTCGGTGACAAAGTCGAAGTTCCAACGGTTACGGGCCTCCTGGAGATGGCTGGACATGAGTGCATCATAGTCCCGGCGTAGCTGTTCGCTGTCCACAGGGCCAAAGAGGCGGCGACATGCCTTGCTGCTGTGTGGGACCTGACGGGTGTCCCTGGGTGAATCGGACATGGCACCTGCAGCTGAGACACAAGGAAGGCCTGGTCACTGGGGCCTGTGCTGTGCAACCTTGGGTAACAGCTTCCTCCCTGGGGTCTCTGGTTCCTGCCAGCTGATTTTCCACTACACCCTGCCCACAGACCTCCCACCCTGGCACGGAGCTCAGCCAGCCCAGCACCCCAAGGTCACAGCTGAAAGGCAAGCTTATGTCCACAAGGCCAAGGGCATTGAAAAAACAGGGATCAGGGTCCAGTTTACCAGCAGCTCTTATCAACTAAAATCAATTTGCCCTCTCCTGAGGTGTTCCTCCTGGGTGTGAATGCCCCAAAATTGCTGGTTTCCCAGTTTCCTCATCCCAACACCCCTGACCAGGAGATCAACTTCCAAATGAAGGATCAGGTCACAGCCATTCCAACCTCCTGAATCCCCCACCCACATGCCTACCTAGGGTACCTTGCCCTGCAAAATAAAAGTGATCTGGAAATCAGGATAAGACCCCCAGGTTGTAGCCCAGCTTGGCTCTTTACTACCTAAACTTTAAAAAGCCACCTAATGCCTCTGGTCTTAATTTGCTCGTCTATAAATAGAACTATGTGAGAGTTTAAACAGCATGGCTATGGCAGGGAATAGTGGTACATACTTGTAATCCCAGCTACTCAGGGGGCAGAGATAGCAAAAGCATAAGACCCTATCTAAAAAATGAACTAAAGCAAAAAGGGCTTGAGATGTGGCTCAAATGATAGAGCACCTGCCTAACGAGCAGAAGACTCAGAGTTCAAACCTCAGTACCAGCAACCAAAAAAAACCACATAAGTGTGTGGCTGTAGCAGGTCATTGGCTAGGGAGGCCATCCAGGCCAGGGAGGAAGAAAATGGAGAGGCTGGGGTCTTGACAAATCTGGAGCCAAACTGCCTGGGTTGGAATCCAGGCTCTGCTGGGTGATCCTGGACAGGTGGCTCAATGTCTCTGGGCCCTATTGCCTCCTCTGTAAAATGAGGGCAGATATGAGGATGAACTGAGTCACTGTAGGTATCAGACAGGAGCAGCACTTGGGAAGTGGCAGTGTCTGCTTGCAGTTCTGGCTGAGCCTCCCACCTATCACTCCTCCCTGGCCACCTCTTCTTTCATATGGCAGCTGCCAGGCGCTGATGGCTGAGGGCCTTTTCCCAAGGGTGTCATCAAGGGGGTAGCCTAGGGGAAGGGAGGGGCTGAGCACAGCAGGGCAGGGTGATGATGGCTCCCAGACTGAGCCACATCCTGCCAGGCCCATCAGATGATCTAAAGTCTACACACCTCCCAGCTCCTGCCCTCCCTCTTGACTGTGCCCATGGAACCTGTTTTGCAGGAACAGAAAATTAAAGGTGGTTCCTCTCCTCCCAGCCCAGGTAAGGAAAAACAGAGGGGAGGTGGCCCAGAAGGAGCCCTGGCTCCTACCTGCCCTGCTCTGGCCTGACTCCAAGGCTGAGCAGCTGCACTTCAGAAGGGACTTGACTTCCCTGGGGATAAGTCCCAGGCACAGGCTCTGCCAAGTGGCCTTCTGAGGCAGGAAGCCCTGGGCCCACGTCACACCTGCCACACCTGCCCTGCCCTACTCCCCACCTCATGATGATTGAGCCTAAGCCCCCTGTCTCTGATGGAAGAGAATAGACAGGAGAGGCACGTGTAGCCTCAGACAGGTTTAAAGGGCAGGTATTGGAAGAGATAGGAGACTTGTCCCTAATCACATGACTGAAAAGGCACAAGTCCACTGCCCCTGAAAGGCTCCCATAGCGCAGTAGATGGAGCCCTGGAGTCACCTCTGCCCACCACCTTCAGGCAGGAGCTCGGATTTATTTATATTTTTAAGTGCAGAAGCTGGGGCTGTTCTAAGTAGTTTACAACTTGGGAGGGGGAAGCAGGAGGATCAAGAGTTCCAAGTCAGCCCAGGCAAAGTAAAGGAGACCCTGTGTCAGAAACAAAACAGGGATCAAAAGGGTTGGGGGCGTGGCTCAAGTGGTAGAGCAATTGCCTAGCTTCAATCCCAGTATGGTAGCAGAGAAACAAATAGGCAGTTTACAAATAGCGGTCTTCCTAATCAAGAAGTGACTTACCCAAGGTCACACAGCCTACCAGTGAGTGACACAGCTAAGATCTGCACACAGACCTGTGCTCTAATGCTGAACCATTCTCATCCTATGTGTGTGTCTGTCTCTCTCCCTCCCTCCCTTCTTCTCTGAGGTTTCTTAACCAGAGAGGCCCCTAAGAATCACTTGGGTAGCTTTTTAAGAATATAGATCAGTGATTCAAGTGTAGTGTAAGTGTGTGTTTGGGCCCTGGATTCAATCCCCAGTACTGAAAAAAAGAAAGAAAAACATAGATTAAAATTTGATGGGTCCCAACTTCTCCAGACTGAAAGGATTTAAGCTAATATTTGCTACCCTTCCCCAGATGGGCACTGTTGGGGTGTCAGTGGGGGAGAGGGGATACCGATGGGTCTGGATGCCCCATAGGCACAGGGCGAGCCCACTGAGGACTTGAAGGAAGATGGGGCCAGTATCTAGTCAGGGACGCTCTCCTCCTCTACCACCTCCCTCATGGCTCCATCATAGGCCTCTCCTGCTCATCCTCACGACTCGCAGGTCAACAATCTCACCATAAGCCCTCGTTTTACCAATCACCAAGACTGACTTCCTCTGCTGGCCTGTGCACCTTAGACTTCAGCCACATTTTAATTCCCAGTACAGGGATTGGGGACTTAGCTCAGTGGTAGAGGCGCTTTCCTACCAAGCGCAAAGTTCCTTATTGGATGCCCAGAACCGAAAATAGGGCTGGGATGTAGCTCGGTGGTACAGCGCTTGCCCAGCATGCGCGACGCCCTGGGTTCGATCCCAGCACCAAAAAAGAAAAGACAAAAAAAAAAAATTCTCCCTAGAACCGAAAATAATTCAGTAATTTCCTGTAAATACTGTTGAATCAATGAATACTCTTTTTTTTAAGGAGCGGTGGAGGTGACCTCCTAGTGAATGTAGGAGAGGCATCAACTCCCGAGCAGGCCGGCTTGCCGCTCTGGCCGTGCCCGGGAGGGGGCGCTGGTCTCCAGGAAATCGCCCTGGTGGGAGGTGCGTGGGCAGAGCCTCTGCCAGCCCAGCAAGTGGGATGAGTCAGTTTCCCCCGGAGCGCTTCCCGCCCGCCCGCCAAAACTGTGCTTCCACTCCGGCTGCGCGTCACGCTGGGGTGCGGTGGGGAGGGGAGGACAGGGGTGGGGCGACGGGGGCAGGGATCGGGGGCCTAGAACACGTCACGCTGAGCCAGCCCGGCTTCCGAAACTCCCGCCGCTGTTGGGAAACCGCGCGCGCGCACACACACACACACGCGCGCGCGCGCACGCACGCCCAGGCGCGCGGAGATCTGGCCCCTCCACCTTATCTCCACGCCCAAAGCACGGGATGACTCAGATCCCTGGAAAATAAAAATAGATGAGAGCAACGAAAACAAAACCACTCGGGAGTCCTCCCAGAAACGGGACGTGGAGGGACGCCCCAAAATGCCAAACCCAGTCCTAAGATTCTTTCCCGCACAGGAGGGCGCAAGCGTCCCCCAGGGGCCCCAGACCCGAACAACGCGCTGTGGTCTGCGCACTGGCATCCTAGGGGCGACTCGCCGCCCTCCTGCTCGGATCAGACCAGTAACCTTTCCACCGGGGCTGAAGGCTAGGTCTGGGCGTCCCGAACCGCGACGCGGCTAACCGAGGCCCTGCGCGACGGCGCGCCCCCCGAAGCCCCACCCCGCACGGATCTGAGCCGTTCCTCACTGCCGCTCTGTCGCGCGGGCTCCGCTCCCGCCCCGGAGCCCCGCGCCCCGACGCCTTGGGCGGGCAGGGTGGGGTTCTCCGGCAGCTGTGGGAGAGGTGGGTGGGACCCCTACGCTTCCCCAAATGGCAGGGTAGCTACGACCCGCCCAGCTCCCGGCTGAGTATCCTTGTCCCCGAGGGCGCGCTGAGGGGGGACCGGACACCGGGTCCTGGACCTCCTAATGTCACGATTTTCTTGGGAACACGCTGTGCCGGCCAAATAGGTCACTGTGCTGACGGGGAGGACGGGGGTGGGGGTGGGGATCAAGATTGCAGTGGGGCAGTGAACGACTCCTGGGGTGCCACTATTCCCCAACCCGGGCGGGGTTCTAATGTCAGTCCGTTCTCGGGGTCTCCTGGTCACAGTGAAGTGAGCCACCTCTTCGCCTGTCCTTAGGGGATATGTCCTGGCACGTTCCTGAGGGCTGGGACCTCAGCGTCCAGCGGGGTGGTGGACACGGCCGTGTAGGGCACCTGGACTTCAGGGGCCTGGGCAGGGGCCGCCCGGGTTGGATCTCAGAAGAACTTGTTCTGTCCCGCGTCCCCCACCCCTCCGGGGACACGGCTTCATTCTTTGGGACAAGGGACGCGCGGGAGCTCCGGGGCCGCCGCATCCCAATCGTCCCTCGCCCCGACTGGCGACCCTTCAGATGCCAGCTCCCGCTCCCCGCACCGGGTCTCCAGCGCCGCCCGATCCCCGCACCGCAATCGCGCAGACTCCCCTGGGCGAAAACCCAGCGAGCACAGACCCATCTATGTCACCTGCCGCGAAACACCTGTGAAGCCGGCGCGCGCCCCCCGCGGACATTCATCCCGCGGGGACGCCCTGGGCTCCGCTTGGAGCTGCGGCCGGGGCCACCGTTCCCTGTCGCCGCGCTCTCACCTCGTCGAGTGTCTCGGTGTCGCGGTGAATCTGGCGCCGGACTCGGGCTCTCCCAGGCACTGGCTCGGCAGCTGCTCACGCCTGAGCTGTGCCGCTCGGCGCCGCCTTGATATAGCCGCCGCCCCGATATAGCCGCCGCCCCGCCCCGGCCCGCCTCGGAGGCGGGACCCGCCACTCGGCCCACCGCGCCCGGGACGCAGCCGCCCGCGCCCCGCAGGCCATCAGCGCCTCAGCCTGGCGGAGCTCCAGCCGGCCCGCGGGGCCCAAGCTCGCCGCTGCGGGAGGCGCGGCGGAAAGATCAGGAGGGATGACACACAAATAAGTACAAACCCATAAATAATAAAACCATGGCCATTTCTGCAATTCCCAGAAGAGCCAACTATGCCATCACTCATGGACCCCCTCACCAGGTCACCTCTTCCAGAAGTACCTGGGCGACCGGCCAGAATAGGGTTCGATCCCCAGTCTCACAAAGAGGGAAACTGAGGTTCTCAGAACTAAAGCAGGTGAAGCTGTTGCTTGGCACTTGGCTAAGGAAGGCGCAGAGAGAGTCAATCTGGTCTCCTGAGAAAGTGGAGAAAGCAGAGATGGAACCAGTTACCCCACGCCCTGCCTCTACCTCCCTGGCCTCAGCAGAAAAAAGCCAGCGGGTCTAATGGGCTGGAAGGGAAGATGACTGGGGAGAGGGTTTATCCCCTGGATATTCCCCAGACAGCCTGCTGGGGCTCAGATCACACAGCACATAAATGACTATGGTTGGCTTTGTTTGTCCTGCCCAGAGCTCTTTGCTTGTCATCTGTCCTCTATTTCTATGTGTCCAGAATGAGGAAAATGCTTCATCCCCTCAATTCCAGGCAGTTGGCTGGAATGACATTGACAAAGAACAGTTCTAGAAGTGTCACTGATGCTACTGACAGATGCAGAAATGAGGTGTCCATCTGCTCCCACCTACCTCCACACCCCCGGTGCCCTTCTTCCTCTCATTCCCTTCCTTCCCCTGAAACATTCGCAGTTTTGCTTTTCAAAAGTTTCAGAAACAGTCAGAAGGCGGAGGAGGAGGATGGTGAATTAGAGGCCAGCTTGGGCTACACAGGGAGACCTTGTCTCACAAAAATTAATTTTAAAAAATTGCAAAGAATGGCATGTCAATCTGATCAGAAATTCCACGAAAAAAAACCCCGAATCCAGCCTTAGAACAGCTATAATTTCTGACAGCTCAGGCTGCTGGGTGTCTGGAAAGTCTGCCCAGACATGCCCAGTCTTCTTCCTCAAGTGCAGCTGACCTCAGGGAGGCCAGGCCTCCTCTGCTGTGGGGACCAGAACCCCAGGAAAGCTGAGGGGCACAATCCTGGGCCCCTTCTTGCCCTTGGCCCTGGAACCAGGCCAGAACTGGAGCTGAGCCTGACACCATGCCCACACCAGCTTCTGCCACCACCTTCTCCCTACACCCATACCGTCCACAGGCCGGGCTGGCAAAAGCCCAGCAGAGGACAGGGTGTCCTCCTACTGCATCAGGCCCGGCAGCCTCCTGGCATTTGGAATAGGCTTGACATTGTCTGTCTGCTTGCTTCGGGGGGAAATCATTTTAATGAAGGCATGTGGTGAGTTATTTAACATTTTGTGGCTCTGAACTTACAGTGAAATAATACTCCCCTTGTTGATGTTGAGAAGTAGATTTTTTAAATAGCTTCTAGATTCTGGATTGCTGCTACCTCCACAATAGCACTCAGCAAATATTTATTAAGTACTTACTAAGCGTCTTATACTGTTTGGTATTTTTAAAAAAATGTTTGCAGTCCAGCACTTGAATGTGGGCACACTCTTCAGAGGGGGGTCTTAGCCCTGAAGAGGACAAGTGTGCAGAAGTCACACCAAGACCTGACCTGGCTCCCAACACACACACACACAGAGAAAGACAGAGAGAGAGAGAGAGAGAGAGAGAGATTACACACGCCCTAGGCCTGCCTCAAGGGACCTGCAAATTGCACACTCAGGCCAGGTTTCTTTGGACTTTCTGGGGGTCTCCTGTCTCCTCCCAGGCCCCTTCTCACCCCCAGGAGGAAGCAGCCACCAGCCTCTTCTGTCTCGGGGCTGGACATGTTAGGGCATGTTCCAGAAGGCCAGAGGGCCAGTCGGGACCACAGCCTGACACCTGGGCAAGCTCCCAGAAGGGAGGCCGCTAGGGCTGGAGGGAGACTCAGGCAGGGGTGCAGGAGGGTCTGGCCAGCTCTGCGCAGAGTGAAGGAGAGAAACAGCAGGAGGGAAAGGTGGGAAGAACGGGCCTGAAGATGCTCAGGAAGACTCGATGGTGGGTGCCCGAGCTGCCCAGGAAGGGAGAGGAAGTGTGAGGACAAAGGAACCATTTCTAAGAAAAGCACTGGGGAGTCCCGAACAAGCACAGCCAGCTTTCAGAGAAATTCACCTCCACACCAGCTCGCAAGAAGTGAGACCCTATAGAGAAAGCAGAACAGAAATATAGCTGAGCAAAAGAGGTCTTGCTTGCTATGGATTTTGTTTCTTTTTAAGACTGAGATTGGGAGCCCCCACCCCGCGCTTCAGGGGCATTCGGGGTAGGGGGGTGGGGGTGGGAGGTACTTAACCCAGCCAGTGCAAGCAGCAGGACAGACCATATTGTATCACAGAAAACTCTGTGACAGAATTGGTTCCCACAAACAACATCCTAAGCCTATTACCTAGCCCTGAAATTTCATCTTTAGAAATTTATTCTTTTGGCAGGGATTCTACTGGGTATTTTTCAAGATAGGGTCTCACAAACTATTTGCCTGGGCTGGCTTCAAACCATGATCCTCCTGATCTCTGCCTCCTGAGTAGCTGGGATTACAGGCATGAGCCACCGACCGACCAGCTGGAGTTTACTAATTTTAATGGGTCTGTTAGTATGTTTCCCAGAAAACACATGGAAGGGGAGCTCCATTTGAAGGAGGCTTGTTGGAAAGGGCATTCCCAATCCACACAGGATTGGGCAGAGAGGAAGGAGGCTGGAGGCTCTAGGGAGGCCTTAGGTGATCCCATATGGAGCTCCAGAGAGGGTTGACACTGCAGAGTTCCCTGCATTGGAGCAGGGCACTAGGCCTTTGCATGGTGCTCCTTCAGTCATTTGGATGTGGCTTTCCCTGCAGCAAGGGGACATACCCTCGGGCAAAGAGTGTAATCACCAGCAGCAGAAGGACTCAGCTATAAGCACCAGCAGCCAGCACTCCCTGAAGCCTCTGCAGAGAACAAATGCCTGGGCCCTCGAGAGGTTCTGGGGCCCTCAGGGTGCTGGGGGCACAGCACAGGGGGAACAAATTGATCAGCTCATTCAGGGACTAGAGGGGGCAAGGAATGAAGGGCTCCTGTGTCTTCACACAAATCCTTTCATCTTCCCAGAAAGAGGGTTCCCAACCAACTTACTCCAAAACCACTCCATTCTCCTGTCCAACTCCTACTCATGCTTCATGACCCAACCTATGTGCCCTCCACAGAGCTCCTGCCAGCTCCCAGAGCTCCTGGGGAGCAGGCCAGCATTGTGTGTCTTCTGAGTCCTGGGAGCTGGGAGTGTGGGAGGATGAGCCTGTTTTATTCATCTTTGTACCTCCGCAGGGAGCTCCGTGAATATTTATAGAGGGTCACTTTCTGCCTGCATGCTGAGGTGACAGGGCAGCTGCTCCTGCACCGTCTCTTTCACTTATTTCTCCATCTATTCACTCCCTTGTTCATTAAATATATTTTGCTCGAACACTCTATCAGTCACCGACTCCTGACCTGGAAGAAGTCACTTGGTTGAACTTTATGTGTAACTTTCAAATAATGGTTTTGTCACATGTGGCAAGACCACAACACTCCCCCACTTTCCCAAGGGCTCTCCTACCTTTTCCCAGCCTCCTCCTTCTGCAGGCAACACAGGGCCATGTGACTGGCTCTGGCCAATGAAATTCGAGCATAAGTGACCTTTGTCTCCTTAGGGCTGAGGCCAGGAGAAATGCTGGAGCCCTTCTTGTCCTCTGCAGCTATGACAAAAGCATGTCCCTGTGGTGTCACTACAACTGTGATGGGACCTGCATCAGCCGGGGTCCCCGAGAAGCTGTATGGAGCGGAGTGTCCCACGACGTGTTTGGGATAAATATATGGGAAAGGAGTCCTTTGTTGTGGGAAGTCCCTGAAATACCGGGGCCGTTTGTCACCGAGCACAACCTAAGATTGGTTCATGTTGTTGTGGGAGAATGTGGTTTGGGGAAGTCTGTGTCACCCAATGAAGTACACCTGTGGGTAGTCACACCATGGTGCAGTTGCTGCCTCTTCAATATTGCTAACTTGTGACTCTTTTTAGACAACAGAGTGGGACAGAAGGTACCCAGACTAAGCCTTGAGCATGTCTAGCCATTTCTTTTTCTTCTTTTTTCTTCTTGGGGGCACCGGGGTTTGAATTGCTAGGCAGGCACTCTTACTGCTTGAGCCATACCACCAGCCCTTTTTTGTGATGGATTTTTTTGAGATAGGGTCTCAGGCACTATTTGCCTGGGCTGGTTTTGAACCTTGATCCTCCTGATTTCTGCCTTTTTTTTTTTTTGCAGTGCCAGGTCTTGAACTCAGGGCCTACACCTTGAGCCACTCCACCAGCCCTTTTTTTTTTTAAAATTTTTTATTATTATTATTCATATGTGCATACAATGCTTGGGTCACTTCTCCCCCCTGCCCCCACCCCCTCCCTTACCACCCACTCCGCCCCCTCCCTCTCTCCCCTACCCCCTTGATACCGGGCAGAAACTATGTTGCCCTTATTTCTAATTTTGTTGAAGAGAGAGTATAAGCAATAATAGGAAGGAACAAGTGTTTTTGCTAGTTGAGATAAGGATAGCTATACAGGGAGTTGACTCACATTAATTTCCTGTGCATGTGTGTTACCTTCTAGATTAATTCTTTTTGATCTAACCTTTTCTCTAGTTCCTGGTCCCCTTCTCCTATTGGCCTCAGTTGCTTTTAAGGTATCTGCTTTAGTTTCTCTGCATTGAGGGCAACAAATGCTAGCTAGTTTTTTAGGTGTCTTACCTATCCTCATATCTCCCTTGTG